CAACTTCAAGGAAGGTAGCCAAAGTAGATGTAGACAGGCATGCTGCTTTGAATGTCACCTAATGGGGTATGGGTCCCCTACAAACAGGTAAACAGTACACGACTCCAGTTACCTCCTACTAGCCATACAGACTTGAATATGTCAGACCTTGGATGGCTTATAAAAGATAAAAACATTACAAAAGACGCTGTTTTGAACAAATCACACGATGCACAATACTGCATGTCTGAAATGTCACATCTGTCATGTCACATCAACGAATCTGCGACTTTGTGTGGAATCGCAGATTCGATTGGAATGACAAGGTGACTGAGTTGTCACCTTCTAATATTCTTATCAAATATCAAGTACACACTTGCGCAGAAAACTGCACTTATTAACTTGTGGTTGTGCAAAAAATGGTCTTTTCCATGACCGACCCAGCTGAACGTTGGACTCGGAATGTTAACAGCCACGACTGACGAAGTGGACAGTGATGCTGTGACTCAAGAGTGACAAATAATGCGTCATCTCTACGGCACTATGCAAATACGTTGATTTAGGCGAAAGAATTATCACAAATAACTGCAGTTTTACGCTTTAACCTAGGCAGAAAACTCAACTTAACTCCACCGTAGTGCAAATGAGCTAGGCGAAATGACAAGTACAAAATGTCATTTATCATGCGTGTTCGATACTTGGTAGACTTTCTTAATCGCTTAATGTCATGCTACTGATTCGCCAAATTCCTGTTTAGACAGTATCGCGGCGGTATTTCTCTATTCCTTGCCATCTGCATTATCTAGTGCTCATGCCTTTGGTCTTTCAAACGTATGAAGCAACGTAGGAGGATTCTGAAGCCTCAGTCATCAATCCCTACTTGTGGCAAGCTATAAAGTCTTGAGGCGGTTAAAAAGTCATTTTGACTTGACATTCTTCCGGTGCATCTCTACAATAACGCCACCAGGTTGTGAGCTTGGGAAGAAATTGAGGAGCCAAATCCAGTGGTATTCCTGGCTGGAAAGACTTCAACAAGATTCACCAACTCCTGATTCCAAAAATGTCGAATGACGAAAACACCAATAAATGGAGATGTTCTCTTCAGAAAAATACGGATTTTGCATCAGTCTGTTGTTTCTGTTTTGAGGGGAGTTCTGCTGTCTGGAGTTAATAGTATCACAACATCAATGCTGGAGCTATTTTTCATCGACGATGCTCATGCATACGTCGCTCTCTGCTATTCACAAAACTCAATGTCGGGAAATTCGCTATCCACTTTACAGAATTTTGTGGTGGGCGATACCTGGGGTACAGAGGCACTGCTTTTCCAAGCAAGTCGCCTAACGCTGTCACGTCTCGCTCAAAAGTATAACATTTTTACCCCACCGTTGATCTGATAGGGAGGGTAATAGCTCCCGTAAATGCCTCAACTAGGAGCAATCCAACAGAATATTTTGTCACTCAGGCTTTAAAATTTTGGCTGGTAGAGTAAATTTGGATTTGAAAGATTTGACCGGGTGAATAATCTCTTCATGGCTAACCACTGAAACATGGAAGCAGTAACATAGGAGAGGTTGAGAGGGCGTAGATTTGCAGTGGAGACTGTGTGGACTCATGCGGAGATTGTACTGAGGGAACTGAAATGTGTGTGCGTCACAACCTTTCCACCTCGGGGTAGTTTTAGCTACTAATCACCCCTCATTTTGACCAAATCCATGAAGGCAGTTTTAATGATCTACCGTTACTTTCTCCGCTTATTGTGCCCTGTTGAACTATCAAGGAAAGTTTTTGGTTTATTTGAAAAGTTGACCTTCATCCCTCCGAATCATTTCCAACCCATACGGTTTCCATGTCCTCGCCTCTAGCCAATCCTGAGTGGAAAAGGGAGGTTATCTCGTTATCCTATCCCATGCTGTCTACCACTGGGAACTTTGTAAGTACACGTCGGGTCTTGTCTAAAGTACAAAATGCAGCAGGAAGGCGAGTTCGAGAGTAGGGGTAGAACACAAGCTAAGAGGCGATTTTCCTTGATTTTACAAGACTTGGAATATCAGCTAAATTACCTAAGTGCTACAGTAGTGGAGCCACCACGAACTTGGACACCATACCAGGAGGAAGCTTTCTCCAGGATGGACACTACTAAGCAGTGGGCCATTCGGTCTCCCCTCGATGAATATCATGATGAACCGCAAAAAAGGTAAGTCTCACTCCAACCACAGCGGAGCCAGGGTGCTTGATCTAAAAATGACCATCCACGTTACCTTTTGTATGAGGTAGTGTAGTGAACATCAGAGATTTTACAATTCTCTTGAGAATTCACTCTGATTTACTTACACATGGGGCTCATTTGTTTCCTGTCACATAAATGTCCCTCAAGATAGGTGATTTGAGGATACCTCTGGCAACCTTAAAACAAATTTCCCTGCCCACCAGCTTGAGTGCTCGGCGGTCTTAGTGATTATGCGAAGGGTCAGGAAACAACTTCGAAATTCAAATTACAAAATAGGTAGCTTAAAAGGTTATTGCTAATCCGAATTGTCTGATCAACTGTTTTCAACTTTATTCCAGACAAAATTCTGTGTTGATGACTGAGACAGGCCGGACTAAACCCCAAGTTGTTTACCCATCAACCGGAGAATTGTGTCGGGAAGTTTTCTGCACGGCTCATTTCCAATACATAGAGATTTGTTTACACCTTAGCCTTATCCAATCTGTGCCATGCTCTCTTGATAGGAAACCAACAAATTGGCCCGTTTTGTCGGTGGAATAACACATCGCTGATGGGAATGTTAGCAGTGACTGCAGCAGCGACGACTAAGCAGCAACAGATTCTCTACAATTCATAATCTTCAGATGCGTGTTGTATGCTTTCTTTCAACTAGATGAATGGCACAAATGAACACCTTTTGCATGCTCCTATTCTAAAACAATGCTACCTTGAAATTTAGTGATGAGCACCCTAAAAACTTCTGTTTCATATGGATATCCATAATATCTAATCGAGAGAAAGAGGATTTCTATAATTTTGATAGCATAAAAGGCATCACTTGTCCATGCCTTTGGATTCTAAACGACTTATCCAAACGCCACCGGTGCGTTAGGCGGTCTAAACTTCTTTCTTTTTTTCTCAATAAATAGACTTTTTCTGACATTCTTTGCAATAAGCAAAAGGTGAGAAGTTGAGAGCTTGAGAAATGGTGAACTCTATGTTAAGACCTCGTCAACAAGTAAGAGGCAATCCGTAACAAACAAAGGTGTCAGGAAACCCGTTCTAGTGAAAATGTGGAAGATTGCGTACTCGGGAAAAAGTGTGCCGCAATCCGTGTCTTAGAGTAAAGGAAGCGCTGCCGCTATCCGATTTCGTCTCCAGAACATCACACTGAAACAGATCCATTTAGTTAAAAGAATGGATGATTCACGCTACGGAAAGTAAAAATGATATCATATTTCAGTGACGTGGCTGCTAACTGATGATTCGATCTTGATCGGTTTTTGAAAAGAGAATGAGTTGATAAGTTTGGTGAATTCGCATGACCTTGCCTCCTCATCATTCCATTTGGAGATGAGTTCGAAGAAGCGTTCATTCGTACGATAATTAGTAGTATTATGACTGTGTCCTCTCCCAGAAAGTTGGCAAAATCGTCCAATGCTAGACATGTTGCACACCTGTATCTCAAATGAATTTGTTTCCCGATTAATACAAAACCGCCCTTGTAACCAGAAAGATCAAAATTGCAGGGTAATTTCTCCGCTTGAATCACAAGTACTTACATTGGCTCCACTTTCTTTACTGTTGCTTAACTTGGATAGCCGAATTGTCAATCTTTAATTTAGAACGATTTTTTTACAAGCCTCGGCTATACTCCATTGGTAAGGGCTTCTATGAGTGCTTGGCAGTAGGGAATGGTTTTATTTTGTAAAGTCTATTGCTAATCTGCATACCCACATATCAAAAGTTCCATCAGAATTCACTCCACTTTCATTCTTCTATTAAATTGCAATTTTATTTATTGACTACGCTTCAAATACAGCGGAATCCGACTTTGAGTTGTATTTTTAAAGCCAAGGGTTACTCACCTTTAGGTCGAAACGTCTTTTAACATGTAATCCTTATAAAAAGCAACGGGTCGGTGTGACCATCTGCTGTAATTCATTAAGCCACATGTGTGTATTCCCTTTCCTCCGTAATCTGCAACTCAGTGCATCTTGCTAAAATAAAAACGAAAGACTGGGTTATAAGGCTGCAAATCACATGAACACACGTCTTTTTTGCACCAACTGCTTCGTTCTTGCTGACGCTACTTTTTCTACATCACCATCTCCAATGACATGAATTGTACATCTGATTGCCTCCCATTTTTCGTCGGTTAAACAACGTCGTCAAGTTGTGCAAAGGAGGCTAGTACAGAATACACACGATCTGTGTCCTCATACTTTATTGCATAGTACATTTAGCTTGTATTTTGCACCGTTAAACCTAATGCATAAATACTTTATATAGTTCTGCGCCGCCTGCTCAAGGTGAAATATTTTAGGCCCAGTTGGGTATGCGAAGGTTTTTATTCTTCTCACTGCCTCATTTATTAAGCGGAAAGAAGACGTATGATTGGAAGCACCAATTACAACCATCAAAAATTGGCAAAACTACTCTTAGGTTCCTATGAATAAAACAGCAAGTAGTTTCATCAAATTTGGGTGAGTTAAGTGAGCATTGACCCGGATACGAGTTAGTTGGGTGGCACATTCACAGACTTTTATACTTCTTATTACGAATTTTCATTATGATTCACAAAGGTCTTCCGAGCACCGGTATTTCATAAAAGTGGCGGCTGCCAGCTCACACAAGTAACTAGTCATTGGAAAAGAAAAACAAATAAAACCGCATCCAGTGCACTGTTTTCTTAGAACGCGAACCTCTTACTTCAATATATGAAACAAGAGTTTAATTGGGCAACTCGAATAAAAATAAAAAGAACGCACAGGTGGTAATTTTCCAACATTTGAAATTTAAGGTGTTTCGAATGCAACGAAAATCTCGACAGTCTGTGCCAAATCTACAGAGGTAAAGCTCTCTGCTCCCAATGCTTCCTGACCACTCCCAAGATTGCTGTTTGCTGTGCATGTCAGTAAGTTTGCACCTAAGTCATTTCTCACCAACTGTTTTATGGCAATATCAGTCGTTTCTGTTGACTGCAGAACAACCGAGCGGCTGTTCTATCAGGCCGCAACATTTCGGGGGGGAAAATTAAAAGACTTTTGGGACGGCTGCCATTAAAGGTGTTATCAATTTGAGGCGAATTGTGGTGGATCTGAAGATCCAAAACAGGGCAAGTAGTAAGCATAAACTTGCAAAATCCTATCAGAAGTTATATATGTGACTAAAGTATTAGTAGAACTAAGAAATAATAGGGTCCTTTTGGACCATAACAGAGTTTAGCAGAACTAAGCAGGAGTGGGTCCCTAATGTCAATGTCGGAGCTAGTGAAAAGCCTTCTGACCTTCATTGATAAGGTTTTAACCAGCCCTATAATTCAAAAGGTGTTGTCTGTACAAAGTATAAGGTGTTTGTGAAATAATAGCACAGACAAGGTGCTAAAAGCTGACATATAAATTCCGTTCTGAGATTTGGAAAGAAGACGGTGAATTCACGCTTGATCCGTTGGTTCAAATGAAACTGGAAGCTCACGATACTTGAAGAAGGAGCCATTCATCAACCTAACTAATGAGATTGGACAGACGTATCTTTTTGTTAGTAAGATGGGAAGGGAAAGTGACACCTAGTGCAGGATATTTCGCGACCAAAACCTCCAGTAATAACAATCCCATTGATAACTTTTAAAACAAGTAGGCTGATAGATTCCTTCCAGCACAATCTTGCACTTGATACAGCACGTCTTCAAAAATCAACGGAGATTATTTGGGATACCAAATCACATATAGAGGAAATTCAAACATTACCTATAAGAAGATTTACATTATCATTGTAGTGAAAACAATCTCAATTGTGTTCTACAGTCTTCTTTATGGAATAAGTATTCTAAAATCTTATTGAGGGGCCAATCATTTGCGGCTGTATTGGCAGCCTTGGTTAAAAGGTAGGTTGCACGCAGTCTGCACGTTCTAAGCAAGCCTAGAGAAACCAGATGAATTAACAGATTAGCGGTTTTAATCCAGTCACACAATCGAGGATCGAGTGGTGCTAGCACTGGGTAAAGTCTGGCACCCGCACCATCTCGTGTGCAGTAAATGCGAGGAAATTCTGAGTGGTGGAGGTCGCTTCTATGAGCGCAATGGAGAGCCCTTGTGCTTCCACCACTTCCGCGGTCTCACGCAGGAGATTTGTCACAAGTGTCGCAACCACCTGCCCGAGTGTCTGGTTGAATTCGCAAACAAGCTCTACTGCCTCAAGCACTTCACTTGCGAATTTTGTGACAAACTACTTCAGCCTGGGTAAGCGTCTAACTTAACTCAGTGAATCAACCTCTATTTCTCTGTTCGTTTGCACACTCGGCCTTTCCAGATCACGCTTCTTTACGGTTGATCTGAGACCCATCTGCAATGCCTGCTATCGTCGCCTGCCTAGTGACCTGCAGCGCAGCCTGCGAAAGTGGCGACGCAGAGAACGCTACCCTATTAACTTCTGGGTACGCGATTTTTTCGACCGTCTACTCTGCATCTACCCTCGCTCGAGGTACGAGAAGAAGCGCATCCCCCTCAATCGTGATGCGCTGCCTTATCTATGCAAAGGTCAAATTATCAATGAATCCGCTGGGAACGTAAATTTCAAATAAACTCCTTTTGCTCCCTTGATGTTGCGAAATTCTTTTCCCGTGACAAATTTTCCTTTTGTGATTGGATAAGGTACCTTCTGTGAAGATGTGCCATCTATCAGGGAGCCACTGTTCAAGAGAATGTCAAACGCAATAGATCTAGCTAATTAGGGTGGTTTTATTTAACCTGTATGGGGTTGGAAAAATCTGCAAATACGGACAGGCCTCATGTTCAAGTTTTAAAAAATTGCTACCGTACGCATTTAGTCTTTTTATGACATAGTTGTTACTGATATAGTATAAGTAACATTTTAAATAAGTAAAAACCCGCAACCCTCTTTTAAATACCTTTATTCGAAAAATTGTCCACGAAAATAGCATATTGAGCACCTTTTATTTCCACGTATTTGTAGCTTCCTCGAACTTACTGGGCTACTGGGTAATTCTGTAACAAAGCAGACCCTATTCGGTAAAACAATTGGGTGTACGCAATACTTGCGCCCCAATTTCAGCAGCTTCTGTAAAATCCACCGACAACTTTATGCATTTTCGAATGCAAATTAAGTGTTTTAAGGGATTAGGTAGTAGTTAGCCAATGATTCAGAACCTCCTTTTGCTTTAAATAAGACTTGCGTCACCTAAAGTTGATTGTGGTATCACCTAGTCCTGTCAGTAATAACAAGTACTAACTGTGGTATGGTGACTGATCAGAAGATCCCTATGACTAGAGTTGAAGATAAAAATCACCATCTTCTCCTCTACAGGGCATACTTTATCACTTTTCCTACTCCTTCTTAAATCATCGCTTGTTAAAAACTCCAAGGTCGCTTGTTAGGCCCCAATCTATTTCACATCCATTCCCAACTCAACCACTTTTACGACCGATTTCAATGCAAAAGGGTAAAAAATCCTTGGGTTTGATGAGCATTGCGATCCTAAAGATTTGGCTTAACAGTATCTGCTTTTGGTAGCTATTGGTCGTGAACTGATAAGACGTATCAACGTTTGTTTTATGACTCGCTACAACTCGCTACGCTGGCATACTCTTGCCTGTTCGAAGCTTATAGGTGGCTTGTTGTTGCTGTTTGGTATACTATTGCCGTTACCGAAACACCTAGGGAAATGACAAACATAAGGAGTGTGGAGGATTTCACATCCGTTGCAAGCTTTTTTGGATTTTGGTCGCTGTGTTTCACTGAAAAGAAAGAAAATAGTTCTGATGTGTGGGTATTTGCCCTCTTGTCACTCGGGGCATGGACTAACTTAAAAGTGGCGAAATATGATAATACTGCGAAGTACCTTGATAGAGCCTACAATTGCCTTTTGGACAGAGTTGTGACCATTAAGACTTATCTACCAAAGTAGGTAGATATGAATGCTATTGCAAGCTTTTTTTCATTTCCGCATCTCAGTCAAATTAATTAATAAAGTTTTTGAACAAATAACTATTTGTTTAAACATGCTTCCGCGTTGCATATTGTAGAAGTGTAGATCACCCGGCAAATCTAACCTTTACAAAAGCTTTCTAATCTCGTACATGTCGTTAGTGTTGCAGAAGTTGGCGTGAATTCTAGAACAAGACCGTCTCTCGGTCAGCGTCTGGGAATGGAGTGAGTTGGCATCCAATTGCTAGTCAAGCACCGTACGTAAATCGGCATCAAGACCTATCCGCCGCGATCCTCTTTTATTTTTGAAGATATCTAGCAAACTGCCACTAAATTACCACCCTACCAAGCAGCCACAGTACTGTGAACACCACAGAATTCGTTCACATGAGTTTTTTTATGCCCTCTTATCCACCAATAGCAAAATGACTATTTTAAGCTTCAGTAGACTCGACGACTTCTGTATTTCCCATTTCACTCTGTCCGGACAAAATGCGGAATCCGCCCTGCCAATGTACCCCATTTTTCCCATCTAGTGGGTACTCCGGACAATTCTAATGGTTAATTTACTAAGGTAACAAGTTTTCAAATGAATTTCAGGCATCAAACTTTCGGATGAAGATGTTTATGCATTCACCGTTGCTATTGCACTAAGCTCCTCCACACCATTGAGGTTGTGGGGCTCTTACGAACTATATTTAAGAAATAGCCATCTTGATTAAATATGGCTCTAAAATGGTCTATTACATTAAGCTAAAATAGGCCAAAAAACTGCCCACTCTAAAATTCTGTTAGGAAATACAGAAGTTAGGCATTCCACTTATAAAACTCATGAAAAACATCCAAATGCTCGGGGAGACGTGGTCATACCCTTAAGGCATGAGGTTGTTTTAAGTTCACTTCTTGAGTTAGCATGGATTCCCCAACAGCATCCGAAGTAGGTTACAACGTATCCATACGTGTTTCAATAAACAAAGTGCCCTTACAAAAAAGGATGAAAATAGCTAACAATAAATAAGTATTTTTCCATTTGAAAGCACCAATGTCAAAGACACCAAAAGCCCAAATATACATGCGCACATACAAAAGGTCTTAGAAAGGGAGGGGGACGATGGAAAGAGGGACTATTCATTCATTCAGGCTTCAGAAGGAGCCTCAAATCCGCACACCACTCGACTGCCGCTAATCGCCCACACGAGGGGCCTTTTGTCCCTCACGCCGTTCATATACTCCACGTTCACCAGTCGTGTCCGCGGTGCACCGAATACGAGAAGAGATCCCAGACCATAGGTGAAGGCGGCGAAAGATCGGGAAAGCGGGAGGCTATCCAGGTAATAGTCCTGATCTGATGGGCCATCTAGTTTACACAGCATGAGGCGGGGCCTGGAGCGGCTAGGCCTGCCAAATAGGGTCAGAGTACACAGGGCCAAAATATCGGGATCCAAGGAGTCTGAATTACTCTCCGGCTCGTCACTGCTGGTGTTGACCATGCTTGCCACAAAGCGAGTGCCAGACACCTGGGAAGAGCGACGCTTCCTGGACGCCGCCGTAGAGGGATGCCTTAGCAACGAGGTAAGGGAGGTGGAAGAGGACGAGGCGACGCGTCGTATTATGGCTCCACGAAGCGGCTGACCCGGAGCTCCTGCGGGTTGTGTCGGGTCTGGAAAACATCCAAGTGTTGCTAGATTCTGTCGCAGTGTTTTAGTCGCTTGCATGCTGTACTGTTTATGCAGCCTACTACGCCACTTTAAAGAAACGGGGTCCTGAACTACAATGCAGGATTACTACTTTAAAACATCTCCAACATCATATTAATACCTAAGAAGTACGCCATACGTGAAGGATATATCAGTCTCAGTGATGTTCGGTTTCACGCCTTTAAATTAACTTCCAATAAACAAACACTTCACAGCATTTTTGTTATGAACAAGTGGATTGCAACCCGCCTTCATAAGCCTAATCACAGGAAAAACAAGGGTTACAACCGCCTATTCCTAGCTTATTATAAGCGCAATCGGTCAGTCCAGGGACGCAGGGTTTCAAAATGACAAATGAAATCCCGTTCCTGGAAGTTAAACTGCAGCTCAATTTAATATTGCTTAAGGAGATTTACCAAAATTTATTTCCTAAGCGGCAGCACTTTACTAGAAGAGCAAGTTAGTGCAGCTTTTCGATTGTTTGCGGTTTCCTTGACCAAGACATAGAAAGGGGATAATTTATGTAATCGCAGAACGTTAGGGAGATAGGTGCGTGATAAAAAGCTCACCGTGAAGTTCGTCAAACACCTGGACCAGAGGATTGGGCTGCGCCTCGGGCTGAGTGTTTACGGAGGGGGGAGAGGAGGAGGATGAGGAGATGGAGCCAACGTCAGGTAAGCGCCTCGGACCTTCCCTCAGCCGTCGGTTTAGATGGGCTCGAATAGTGCTGAGGCGGATCCTGCGCAACATTGCCACCGTCGGCCATTCTTGGTGAGGCAGCTTTGGGAGGCACACTAACTCAGCGCCTCCTAAGATCTCCAAAGGCTCGGGAAAATTCATCTTATTCACACAACTACGCAGCTGAACTTCGGTCCATGTCCAACCCACCGAATAACTCACTGAAAGATCAGATCAGGTAATCTAAACAAACCTATTCCAGTGGTATTGGAAATTTGAAAAAAGCGCAGCCCAGACATCTACCCGAACTTATTCACACAATCTACGTACGATGCATAAGTCACTTCTAAATGTCATTGTATGTACAGACAGTGTAGTTTTCGATTCGATTCGATTCGATTCAAGAACAGTAACCCCCGCCCCCGGCAATCATATGAAAGATTATTTCGTAAGCAGAAAAAAGAACAACTTGTAGCAACAGCATCAAATCTAGAGGCGGCGGCATTTCCTTTAAATGAAAGACTAAACAGCGAAATGCTTGAGACGGCATATGACAGAATGTGCTTTTAACTACTAGACAATTAAAGGCAGCAATAAACTCCCCATATTTTAAAAAGGCATTCCAATGTCAATTCAATAGCAGAAAATAGGATCACAACACAGACACCCCTTTAAAATACATATTTTTATATTCAACCGCAATCACACAAGCACTCATGCTCTTCAAGTAAAAGTTGCTTTTAATATTCTTCTATTATGTCGCAGAACACAACAAAGAAGTCTGATGGCAAGGAAGAATAGCCACAAGAGGTATTATTTAAAATTAAAATAGTCAAACGGACTTAAATCTAATTGCTGCATGTGCACAACTATGCATGCTCTCTCAGTACCTCGCTCACGCTACTTAAGCTGTGCTGATAAGAATGCAACCTCTGAACTCTCACACCTACCTGAATCGGACGTACGAGCTCTGCGACTAAGAATCCATGCAAAGGTGGTGGCAGGATGGTGGGTGAGGACGAGCACGTCCTTCTCCGAAAGGGCACACAAGGGAGACCGCGAAAGTAAGGTGGAGTTCGGGGTCTGGGGAGGGCTTTGAGGGCAATGGGGCAGGGCGAACCAAAAACCAGTCTCGGGAAGCAGTGCAAAAGTGAGGTACTGCGTATCAGAGGCCTCAAGGAGGACCAATAAACCTGGATGGGTCTCCGGATCGGAAACCACCGGTGGCAGGAAAACTCCATTGTAGTGGCCACGCAGCCGAGGACCCTCGGTGTCCTTTAGGATCTGTTTCCAAGTGTTGGTCCCTCGACGGAAGCTGTATAAATCATTCAAGACCAGCGTCCGCAGCTGAAACATGGAATGTGCCAAAAAAATCGGAACAGGAGATCAAATTTTGACACACCAGTTCATCAATAGGCACTGTAAGACTAAAATTGACAAAAAAAGATATTCACCTGTTTATTAAATATGTACGCATTGATACATAGTAGAAGGTTAAGCAAGTAGAAGGGGATTCTTAAAACTACTGACTGAACTAATGTTTCTAAAGCGACCGATGGTCGTACAAAATGCTAACAATGTTGGAATTCACATGCGGTAAAATCAGTCAATAAAACTCAGGAATCAAAAACTTTTGTCCTCTAAAATCTTGTTTGCGCCCATAGAAAGAGAAAACGTTGGTAACCTATGGAGAAAGTGCCAGGGATCAACAGAATTACATTCGACTCAGTGGTTAACCTGGACCGCAACAAGGAACTTAACCAAAATTTCGATAAACTACATTCTCGTTGTATTAAAAGTAAACAATTCCATACAATAAGTTTAACTATGCCAATGTTTCCTGACCCAGTGGATTATAAACATCGCAAAGGGGAAGCCCAAAGGATTTCGAACTCAAATGATAGCAAACGACAGATGAGAATAAACAAACACAGAGTTATTTCTGCAAAATCCCTTACAATATGACTAGTCGGGGGAAGACGCGCATCTCCAAAATCTTGCAATGGGCATTTATAACCACCATAAAGAAAGAGTTGATCCTCAATGAATCCCATAATGGCATTTGAACGGGGCAAAGGTCGTGGGCCTAATTATCACAAAAAAACTGTCTTAGCACAAAATAAAATGCAAGTTCATTATAACCAAAAGAAATACCACGCCATAAACACGAACGATTCCTAAATTTAGCTGAAATGCAGGTACGTTACACGATAGAACATCCAATAGGGAATTGATAACTCAACTAATAAGAACAAAGACACACCATTTGTTGTTAGCCGCTTCCATTCTACGGTAAGAAGATCAAATGTAGAAAGATCGTTCATTGCAGTTTCATTGTCAGTACGACCACCAAAAACATACAGAGTGTGACCGTGAATCGCAACGGACACCCCTGATCTCTCATTTATATCACTGTACATGGGCAATGAGTGCCACTGAATCGAATGTCTTCCAATACCAAGAAGGGAAACTCTCGACCTAGATTGAAGGGCACCTATTTAACTAGTTTTAAAATGCTCTGAACGTACTCGAAACCAAAGCACGCCATCGCCTTGATAAGCATGCAAGATTAGCAAACGTGGGAGAATGTGGCAAATAATTTAGTATTTGCAAAATTACTTCATCGGGAAAAACCGTAGCTGGGTCCATTGGCGAAGCGAAACGTTAGCAACGTGAAGAAAACGACCCCTGGCACGGAATCATACCGAGCGCTTCTGACCTCTACGACATAAAGTCTACTGCTTGTACAAATTTAATCTATTGTGTCAGTGATGCGTTGCAAGCATATTTTTGACAAGACAACCCTTTTCAACATTATTTAATTTACCTTTAACCTATTTTATTAGCACCAAATTCAACTTATTTCAATTTTCCCGACTTTTTGTAGGGAACCACTCACGAAGCCAACAAAGGTAAAAAAACTAACTTTATTAAGCAGCTCACCAAAATTTTCGACCTAAACAGAATCAGAAAGCCATAAAAAATTTAACTGTTTGCTAAGTAGGATTGCCGAAGGAGAGGGACAAGCTACAGTGTAAAAATCAGTGTTGTTATCCAGATTGGCCGTAATACGCTTTCTCACAAAATATACCAGTAAGAAAATCTAGTGCTGAAATAATTCGTCCTTTAAACAGTCACGGAAAACCCCCCATCCACGTCCAGCTTAACGACGAGACTCCCCGACTGCTCTCCCTGCTCTTTTGCACTGTTCTTGAAAGTAAAATGCCAAAACAGCAACAATTAACATCAAATACTCCATTTAACCTTTGAGCAATATACATTAACTGTCTGTGAATTTCGGTTTTCGTTTCTCGATACGAGCTGACACCCCTTCTCCGCAATCGTTCTAAAATAAAAAGAGGGGGAAGTAAGCGCCAAAGAAGCCTGCACCATAAAATATATCAGCGTTAACTAATACATCAATAGGTTTTGCTAACGCAGTGATGGGAGGTTGTGACAATGATTTCAAGCATGATATAGCCGCACGAACAGTGGTGTCCTCTCGAAGCGTACAGCCGCATTAGACAATGGTCTTCAATTGTTCCTGGTACTACTACTAAATCTGTACTTCCTCCCACTAGGTAAAACATATCAATGAAGCTTAACCGCTTTAAGATGCGTAAAATCTAATTAAATGCTTCGATAGGGAATTTCATTATTGGGTTTGCCGGTTATCCGTAAATGTGCGTCTAAAATTTATTAAAATTCATTTTAAATAGTGGTATGAATCCTGCCTCCAAACACCATAGACAATCCACTTACTGATGATAGTGTAGCGAGGAAAATTTCTCGTTCAACCTTCAAGCCTTGGTCAAGGGGCAGTTGATAAGCTGTTAAGAACAAATGAATGAAAAAATCGGTATTCTTGTAGCGATATCACGGTGGAATGAATAAATAGCGGTGATAAGGCAAAATTCACCCACAGCAGCAATTAGCAATATAATGCTCGAGTAATTTCTTCTCTCCTGATACAAACATTCATCCAAAAGGTCGAAAGAGGTGATAGAGAGTAGAGTGACTGACAGGCATGTTAGAACCTCTATTTCACCTTTCTGCATTCAATAATATGCAAGTCCCACTAACAATCCATCCAAGTTGGATATTTTGTAATGAGTACCGCGAATGGGTCAACCAAAAGCACGTCCTGGTTGTTTGCCGGGGATGAGTTTGCCGACTTAGCTGTTTGACGAAACCATCGACATTTCCGGTTTAGTACCGATATAAACTCATTTTTTAAGCATCTCTTATTCACGCATAGAAAACAAGTATGAAATTGACTATTACGTCTGCCAGTGATTTTGAAATACAGAAATAGAACTAAGGAAAAAAATATGTACATCTGTTATGAAATTAAGGGTGATTTTATCACTATTTTTTCCCAGCTTTCGCATAATCAAGTGCCAATTTCAGTCATCCATAAAATTTATTCTAAAAACAGGTTTCAGCTCACTCTCACGCAGATGACATCGCAGACATTTTCGATTCCGTTCATTACTACGTTTGCCCAAAATTTGAGAAGAGAGCGTTCCAAATATCACATTTCAAAAGTTCTCTATGATGGTTTTTGGGGAAAATCAACCAACATAGCCAACAAAAAATGCGTGTTATTTCGTTATAGCAATAGAGAAAGTGATTTTCTTTAGATTGGAAGCAGTTTAAATCAACTTTATTGTTGTCAGCTCAAACAGCCTGTTTGGGATACCCGTTTAAGGTTCAGTCGGTTACGATGAGCTGATATAGAGCACAAATAAAATTCGTGACGTTGGTAGCAAACATGTCAAGCGATTTAAGTGGTGTAAGAAAACTAGAAACGGAGTACTCACCAGCACCGACGGCTCTCTTTACTGCTCGCAGAGCAACCAGAGAGTGGGCCGAGATACGCTCGGCCAAGGCGATTGCCCTATCCACCACCTCGGTCACTGGATACACACTACTCACTAATCCGAAAGCAGCCGCCTCCTTCGCTGAGATGGCTTTGCCTGCAGGCGAAAGATGAAGGAAGGCGGATAGAGGAAGAGCGAGGAAGAGAGGAAATTCATTGCATCTCACCCGAAAGGATCATTTCCATAGCGCGTGATTTGCCAATGGCGCGGATGAGACGTTGGGTGCCGCCGGCGCCGGGCACGAGGGCCAGACCAACTTCCGGGTGTCCGAATCGCGCCCGCTCACCCGCGTACACTACATCGCACATCATCGCGAGCTCGCAACCACCGCCCAGTGCAGCGCCATTCACTGCTGCAATAGTGGGCTTCTCCACTGCCCCCAGTGCCTCCCACCTCCGCAGCGCCTCCAGCCTCCGCAGGTCATCCAGGTGTTTCAAGTCAGCACCAACTGCAACGCAAGAAGTCATTAAACTCGACGTTTTAGGTAGTCTCAATGCACATCTACTTTCAAGGGATGTTAAGAAAACCAAAACATCCCAAAAATTTTTTTTTTAAAAATGCAATGTTAGTGAATTTAGGTGAGGACAAAGAGCCTAGTCATGCTCTAAAAATGGGAAAGAGCGAAGAAAGCTCGTTGACAGAAATGGGTTTGGTCACAATATTGTACGGGGAAGATGGAGATCCGGCAAGTTTTCTCAGGCAAGGACAGGTCCTTTTTTAGTCTAACTGTGAAAAACATATTTCCTGACCTACTATCATAGAAGTAAAAGAGAAAAGAGCATGAAACTAGAAAATGTAGCTCAAAAAGGGCTTCAAATTTTAAAAGAATACCGACTTTAGCGACTAAAATCAAAGGGATAGTTATCTTTAAAATACGAAAAAAATTAAGAAAATTAATCGGTGCCGTAATAGATCCACGTCTAATTGGACAGGTGTGCCCTACCCGAGAAAACCCTTTTGGTGCCGGTGATAACGAGACAACGTATCGAGGAGTCAGCATCCAGTTGTTCCACCGCGACAGCTAACTCCTTCATCAATTGAGGGCAGAGGGCGTTAAAGGTGTCGGGGCGGTCGAGTTCTATGAGGCCTACTTGGAGGTCAGCGCCCCTGCGAGACACCTTCACCCCCCTGTACTGCGCTAACGCTGATTGAAACCGAAGTTTGATCTGCAAGACCCTCCGAATAAACCGTAGCATTGTCTATGGCGCACGGAAAAACCACCTTATGTGAAATTCGTTGCCTCTCTCAAAACGACTTTTTTCACCACCATACGATATTTGCTCCGTTCAAACACGGTTTTACATGGCACGGTTTTATATAGATCCTTCTTAATGGGTCATGTTCGCTTCTGTCAAGCCTAAAGTACGCTGTAATTTGAGTCGGTGCAGCTCCATTTCACGGTATATACAAGTTTGAGTAAAGGGAGAGAGTTGTAAATTAGGGAAGGAGCACGTTAAGTGCCCAAGAAAAACGAATTAACTGAAGTTGGACTCCATGAAAAGGACAAATAAATAAATTTCTGTTAGAAACCAACAGAAATTTTGCTTGAACGCCTGATAAAAGCGAATAAAGAAGCCACAAAATATCTTAAAGTCGTTTACACAAGCTACCCCTCCGAGCATTTGATCTACGCACATGACAAAGATCAAAAGCAGCAGCAATAGTAGTCGATTCGTTTATTGGTGAAAATAAAAAGAGGAGAATAATCGAGTAGAAATTCAGTGATTGAGATTCAAAAGGGACTCCAGATGCATGTCTCATGGTAGGGTTAGGAGAGAATAAAGCGCCAGTCCTGAGTAATCAGCGGGAGACCAAGCCACCAAGTGCTGCATGGCGTTGGAGATGGCGCACCAACTCCTCATTGGTGGGTTCTTCAAAACCACCGCTGAACATTTGTGCAAAACTGAAGGCCACTGTATTGGAAGGTGAGGTTATCAAGATATCCTCCGTTTCTGCTGCTGCCGCCGCTGAGGAGCTGTTGTGGTCAGCGGAGAGCTCAGCTGAGGGCAGCAGCTCCTCCATCCCATCGTCATCGATCAGACGCCCGCAGTGGTTATCGTTGCAGAACCGCGACCCGCTCACAGCGGCAAGGCGAGGGGCATTGGTTCGACGACGCTCGCGGAGCTGCAATAGGTCTGCTTGACGGGTGTGAAGCTGGCGTGCGAAGAGGAAACTCTGCAAAATACAATATAGGCAGGTAGGAGGGGTTCAAACCACGATTTAGCGGCCAAAGGATCATGGGGAGAAAGGCAACACCCCTTCACAAATTGGAACAACGAATCAAGTAAACACTGTGCTGCAATTGTTTGACAGGGAATGAAAATTTCAAACACACAGGATCTTCATTTTATTTACAAACTGGTAGTTTTCTCAGCCTTCTGGCAACTGTCCAATGCCTCGCTAAAAGGCATGATGGCTTGAGAACAAGCAAGTTGATGGTATGTCTGTCTCAATAGACAGAAGTGAAATAAACCGGTTCCTGAATTGCATCGAATATATGTGCTTCTGTGACAATTATTTCTTCTTCAAAATGTTTGGATTTTCATCTTTGAGGACCATCTCATGGCTTAATCCGAATTCATGCACACTCCTTCTCGAGGAAATCGGTGAGACCGCTTTTTAATTAGTAGCAATTGTGATACGGTGCCTTCGTTCAGCCTAGACCAAGCCATTCATCTCGTTCTCCCTCTTTGGCGAGTTTTTGTCAAGTTGTCAATGAAAGAATGAAAATGACATAATGTATGGAAGAATGTTCCTTGCGGTAGATGCAATAATAAAAGGCTTCTTCTGTTTTAAAATACAAAAGTAACATTGGCCTTTACTATTTAAAATAATTTGCGGTCGCAGCTCTCCAAATGCAACAAATAACGAACGTTTTGTGTTTAAATTACACCTAGCATTCCCCCTTTAGACACCAGTCAACCTCTTACCCACTGTAGCCTTGGAGCAGACCTACCCAGAAAGTGACGATTAATCGCCTGATTCGCTGAAAGAAGTGATGCAAATTGGCTTAAAAGTGGTCCCCATCGGTTAAAATTACAAATACTTTAAAAGATCACTTAAACCTGAAATGCGGTAAGCGTACATCGAGCATGAAACCATGTAACCGATTCGACAAAAAACCATTCATTATGAGCTGCCGCTGAATTTGGATCAACGTCAAATTGTCAATAGTGAGGTCCGTTAATCCAGCACTAAGACCCGAGTATCAACTACATCCTCTCATGCCGAGCAATTGTGGCAAAGTTCAACTAACCTCGATTATCATGGCGGTAATGAGGGTGAGGAGAATAACAGATGCAATGAACCACCAGCTCACCATGTAGATGTGAACCCATCTAGAAAACAAAAAAGTGGGAGGAGCCTACAGCAGTATGAAAAAAGGGTAATCTAATGAGCATGGAAGAAGGTGCTGTCTCAGCAGATCCGAAAGGTACAACCTAAATTTACTACGCTATTAAAGCCCATGATGATATGGGGTGCTGATGCGTCCAAGTGCTCTATCTCAATGTAGAAAATGGGTATTTAAGCGTGGCGATTAGTATGTCACCTACAAGCCTGTCTACTTCATTACTAAAAAAAAGTACGCAGGATTACAAATAAGATTACATAAAGGTTGTATTGCATTAAGTATGATTTTCAAACCATGGTATTGATGGGAAGTTGTCAAAAGCTACATAATTGAATGGGTATTAATAAGACAGTATTACCACTAGTACCACTAGTCAGAGTGTTTTCAACACGACTACATGGAGAATGAATTGAATGAATGGAAAAAGTGGAGCTACCTGCCAATTTTATCGGTAAAGGCCCGAACAATGACATGCCAGTTGTTCAAGACCATCAAACTCCAGAGGGTGAATATGCTGGCCTGAAAAAGCAAGCAAGTTGAAGAAATGGATGTCAATGTTTAATGAAACGGGACAATGTGGAAGCCAACTTACAGCAAAGTCGTCAAAGTTGATCGACCAGTAGTTGAGCTGTTGGTAAGTTCCACAGACGTACGTCTCGTTCGAGCTACAAATAAGGCATCAACAAAAAAATCCAGAAGCATTGTTTTGGTGGAAAATTAATTAAAGGGTCGTTTAAAAACTCATATATTTAATATAAACAAGCTGGAGATAAATTTAGAATTGATAAATCTATTTAGAGAGGACTGAAAGTAAATAATTTTACTGGAAAACAATGGTGCCAAAAGTGGCGAAACCAGAGCCAATTGAGATTAAATGTCACGAGTCTACCAAAAATTCTTTGAAAGTAGACCTTAAAGAAGCTACACAAACACTCTGGCACTTCAATTTAAAGAATTGGGTTTCATTAAACAAGGTACCGTCTTCTGAAGTTAAGCAGGTTTTAGTTTAGAAGCGTTACAAGAAAAAGAAGGCAAATAAAAGAGCATATTATTCCTAAGAAAGGCATTGAGGCGAAAGCAAGTCCAGCAAAGATGACCTATTGAGCGGATGCGGAACGACTCCTCGTAAAGTAGCCAAAGTGCCACTCCAAAAAAAAGCTCCAATCCATCCCGAACTCTCAAAGACTCACATTTATGATTGCAGAAACAGTTCCACACTGCAAACCTAGTCAAAAGACAATGAATGACTCCATGTAAGGATTATACCACACTAACAACCATACTGTTTTACAGACGTGACCAGCCCTGATCCACCTCAGGGTTCCAAAAAGAGATTCTCAGAGCCGCGCACATCGATACTGAAACGGTCCTACACAAGAAATCCTACGGTCCTACGAGTTAAACTCAGTAAGTCAACCAGTACCATAGTTCTTGAATATGGTGATTCTCTAGCCTACCCCAGGACATCGAAAAAAGGACATACTTTCAAGAAGAAGACCTACTCAGTGGATCCATTGGTAGGGTGTTCAATGGTTCCGTGGAAAAGGGAGAATCCGAGGAGGGCGTAGACATAGTAGAAGGAGATGAGGACGCCCAGCACGGGGGCTAGGTGATGGGGCATCTTGAAGAGCATGCTGGTCATCAGGTTGGAGATCTGCATGAAGCGCAAGGTGTGCAGAATCACCAACAGGTTCGCCAGCTGCCCAAAGTCGTAGGGCGACCAATGCTCTGATCCTACACCTCTGTCGGCAGGACCAGAAAACGAGGAAGCTTGTCATTCAGTCAGTTACACGAAATAATGGCAAAACTAAGAACCCAGCCCCTTCTCTCTTGTATTTTTAACCATCGTAACAACCCAGGACCAATAAATGACACATTTCCGATAAACGTTAAATTATAGCGTGAAGGAAACAGTGAACGATATTTCTAGTACAGTGACATAGAGGTAGAACGTGGTAATAGTGATGTGCACCAGCTCAAAAGCTAAATGAAACATAGGTTAGGCCGAGCTCTCAGCTTTTTGTAATAAGCAAATGAATTTCTCAACTCTACATACTAAGCTGTGAAGAGGAAATTCCTGAGCTGGTGGAGGGGTGGCATACGCAATCGAAAATAACAAGGTGATACCACGAAAATAATGGCTTTGCGAACAGAAAAAATAAAAAAGAAAGATGATCCTGGTGTAAGTATCCGCTGTTATTTTACTGTATAGCTATCACTTCATTTTTCTAAGGTACTCTTGGCCTCATGTCCTGCCCTCCCTCAAGAAACGGCACCTTTGATTCACCGTAAAATGAGTTTCACGTCTGCCTCTTTAAATAAATAAAAACCACTAATTATAAAATTTTGGAATCTACTAGCCACGAATAGACGCACCTTTATGATAGTAAGATAGGGAGACAAAAGGAATCATTACCCTACCTCAAACGTTTCGATATACCTATCCTCATACCGGGCCCCGCCTTATTTTAAGCCATGATAACAAGACTTGGACTTGAGCACAGTAGAAAATAGTTTCACGCCTAAACGGTGCCTATTTTCTAGGACGATGCTTGTCTAAACAGAGCGTTTTACAAGACACTTTAGTGCTGTCATTAACATCAGCACAAAGAACAAGAACCCACCTCGCTCCACAAGCGATGAGGCCAAGTTCGTAGAGTCGCAACGCCTAACAAGATAAATTTATGAGGCATTGAAAAGAGAGTTAAAGAAGTGAGCGAATAGACAGGACAGCATACCAGGTTGCCAAAGGAGACGCACAAATCAAACAAAGTCAGAGGCATGCAAAGTGAATTGCGCCAGCCGTGAACCCAAAGACGCACACCGTTTTCGATAACGTAGAGTGTTGCAAAACATGTGTTGATTATCTAAAGGTGGCAAGAAAAAAGCCGGTGGGGTGATGGATGAGTGGATTAAAAGCACGTGGATTGGATGGAAAAAAAAACTAACGTCACGATGGTTCCACTCATATAATATAGGGAACCAAACTACAAATAGGAAAACAAACTAAAAAGTTAATTTCAATGCGACAACACTATCTTTCTACATGCATACTTGTCTAGGTCCAACACTAGTAGATAGACAATTTTAGCGGAAAAACAGTTGTTAGAAGCAAACAACAGGAGTAACTTGGAAGCGAAACCTGAAGCCAGTTCAAACCAACCGAGGGATTTCATCATGTGTCAGAATTTTAGGGTTCGAAACACCATCAGGCGGCCCAGTGCTGTAGTTCAAGTACAATCATAGTGTTTGGGACGTGAAATTTCGTCACTTGAGGGCAGGTGAGGCAATTATGAATCTTTGTGGAGATGATAAAGATAATTATAAAGGGTTGAGGATAAGTTTGCTTCTACTATGAGTGCATAAATCCTCTACTAATCCATAAAATGAAAATATTTTACAAATCATGAAGTTGTCCTAATATATTCGTGAATAACCGGTAATAAAGAAGGAGGGATGAAAAGGAGACGTACCAAAAAGGTAAAACTGGGTTTGTCCGCGTCTTCAAAAGCCACGAGTTGTAACTGGAAGAGAAAAAAGTGACTACTTAGTTTAGACCCCCAAGCACCTCTTCTGTTGCAATTGAATGGTTAAATAAAAGAAAATTTTAGAAATGCCTCTTCCTACGCCTTAAATTAACGGAATTTTTGGGATGATTTCAACGAAAAGTTTTTAACTACTAAAATTAATTCGACCTATTAACAGCCTTGGCATATGAATACGAAGCTCAAGAAATCGGATACGCCGAACAATGTACCAATGTCAAAAAATGTCTTCTTTTTTCTTTATAAATTTATAGCGATAAACAAACTCGCTTTACAATAGTTTGTCTAGCTGAAAGGAGCTTTAAAAAACGCAAAACCCAAAACGAACCACAAAAACGCAAGAGGCTTAAATAGGCTGATGTTTTTCCCGACGAATGTACGTAAACTGAGAAGGAAGGAGCCTTTGAATTGGGTAAAAGGTTGGGATAAAACACCGTTTTTTTTAAAATTTTATGGATGGGAATTGAAATTGCTTGACGGCTTAGGAGCGGAAGTAAACTAATTGGGTGAGGCCTGCAGGCACTCTTTAATGCTAATGCCCAGAGACTCAAACTTTGAGACAAGTTGGACTGCTCTTCGGGATTTTCAGTGCATGGAAGCTCTTTTCAGTAGCCGTGAGATGACGGCGACCAAATATTGTTTCTTTATTAAATATTGATGTATAAGAATGCTCATTTGAATGGGGATTTAAGGTAGAAATATGACATGTCTTGTAACTGCAATACAAGTAATTTGTGTTGGGCTCAAAATACGTATTTTATGCAAAAATAGGCCAGAATAAATCTGCACGCACAATGATGCAGAAAACGTTGACAAGAGATACGAAGAGCTCGACTCTTCTGCATAGGTTTGAGATGCAGAAGGACTGTATTCGCAAAGCCACGGGGTTATTGAATTGTCGAACAAGAGTAGGCTGCAATCAAATTTTGGCGGTGAGACGGAAGTCAGCGTTGAACAACATTATTGCAAAAAAAAATACGGAAACGCACTGTTTTGAGGGAAGAAGACAAATCGAGAAGCCGAAAGAGGTCCATAAACTCCGTCAAGTCGACAGAACCTCCCTCGTATTGCGTCATCAGTTTCTGTATAACAGACAATAGCCAAGAGCATAAGATGCATATAAGCTAAAGAGAGTATGAATAGCGTACCATGGCTAAAACAATCTAATATCGGTGGCTTTCAACCCGATTTATACTACCGGTTATGTACTGTTATTACTGTTTCCCCAGATTCCTGAAATCCCCATCATCCCTCAGGAATGCGCAATGACTCCCTTCGAATAAGAATTGTTTTTTTATTATTATGTTTACCTGGAAGGTAATGATGCGAGAACAGGAAAGCTGGATTATAATTAAGATGAGGCTGAATCAAAAACTCATTATCAGGCATGAATTCCGTACGTGAAGGTTAGTCTTGCTGCATTCAGTCTAATGCTTGCCTACAACGAAATCGCAATCGCCTTCAGCAGCTCATTCAAGTCGACCCTTTTCCATCGCTTGTAAAGCTCAAATCGTAGAGTGAGATTTGCGACTCTTTTCCTACAACTTTGAAGAAACACTTTACTTTTCAACTAGTCAAGCGAGTTTATGTGGGTTCCTATAAACTCAACGTAGATTGCTTCTGGCACGTCCCCGAGTTTTAGCCCCAGATATCTGGAGCGGTCGCTGTCCCCCGACTTGGTAATGCGTTTTCAAGTAATACGTGGCAGCTTCGCCACAAAGTAGTCGAGGAAATTCAGAGTTAAAAGTTATTGTAAAAGCTACCTTTAAGCGGGCAGTAAAGATTTAAAAAATCATACCATTTAAAGAAAGTGCCACCATTAGCTTGATGTGAGAAAGCATCAAGTTGTAATAGATATTATACTAACTGAAATTTAGCTTACAGTGGAAATCGCAGACTTCTTCCAACCAGGCAAAGACGTTTCCTCCAAAAGTTGTAACACTTTGTCTGTCTGAACAACGGGGACACTAGACACCGTTTAAAAACTTAAATTTCAATGCAGTGGAGGACATCTTAGCGTCTGGATCCAACAACTTCGTTTGGGTACGAAGCGATAACGCAAGACCTTCGCCCTCGGACCACTGCACTTGTTTTAGAACGACACGAAAGCAGGGCAAAGGTATGATTAGATTTTCTATACTTCATGTAATAAATCACAATATTAAGGCATATTTCTGGATGCATATTATGCATTCCTACATAGAATTCTGCCTTTTTTACCAAAAGGTTAGCTGAAACAATGAAAAGAACTTGGAGGCTAAAATCAAGGCTACAAAGCTACCAAAAGAATCCCAAAATGGCCGCTGATAGCTAAGGTCTTCGAAAAGCAGACATTTGGAAATTGTAATTGATAAGTTTCAAATTAAACAGGCAGAAAGCAAAGTTTGGAGAAGAGTGATTCAAATGCCCACTAATATCCGTTGGTGCATAAATTTTGATGGACTTCCGAAGAAAAACACCGATCCAAGTTGAAGACAATATCAAGTGAATTGAGACTCACGGATCCTGCGATTTGAGAACTTCAAATGCAGCACGAACGGCAACACGTCGCCTAAAAATGCGTTTGTGAACGGAGGACTAAAAGGAGGAAGGATGCAATAGATCAAACTCGTTGAAATTTGTACGTGTTTTCAGTAATGGCCAATGGACACCCGAAACGCACAAAAAGATAACCGCGGAACTGATTATACATGATGGCCGTGAAGATGTTCATGAAAATGTACGTCCCCACAGCGAGAAAAGCGATGTCAAAGAAGGCGGCTGCACGATTTTCGCTATAGTTCGGGAGGATGACTGAAAGCATTAGGTAAGAAAAAAGCATTTGAAGTGGGAAACTGGAACGTAAGAACCTTCGGCAATCCAAAAGCAAAGCGTGGATAAAAATCCATCATACGACGGGTGCATTGCTGATATTTTGCCGCATCGGTTTCCCAAATGTACTTTTGGTATTAAGTAGAAGGGCAAAAATAATATTATACGATCAAAGTAGCCAGTTTCACAATTGTTTTCGGAACTCAATTGGACAGTTTAATGATTCGTAATGTAACTGCGTGGAAAACGGATGGTAATTAAGGTAATATTAAACGGACAGTCAATCAATCTGCATTTAATGAGCAGAAAAAGGTAGCATGTAGAAGCTGGGCCAAAGAGGATAACAGCAGAAAACATTGGGACTTAGATTTTCCCCAAACAGCGAAAAAGAGAGCAGCTCCGAGGCTTCAATAAAGCACTACAGTGGTTATTATGAAATAAATCGTCTTAAGAGATTCATCGAAGTATGTTCGAGTAGGCAAACCAAAGATGGGCTTGAGAGAAATAACCTTTGAAACGAGAATGAAATGAGTTCAAAAGCACAAGCAAAGAGTGGGCAATTTGAAATGAAAAACATCCCTCAAGAGGTCATTGAGGAAAGGCAATGGAGGAGTGGAGTTAGCTATTCAAAATGAAGACTGTGCTTATGATAGGAATACTTCTAGTTGACACAGTTGGACCCATTGCATGGTATGGTCCAAACACGCCGTCGTGCTTCAAAAGACGCCATTCATTGAAAAATTTAATTAAAGTATGGGTATTGACTTCAAAAATATTTTTTTTCTTTAAAAAAAAACACGGGCGCAAAGGTAACTCACCGTCTGGATGATTGGCTGTGGTGAGGAGAACGATAAGATTGTAAAATGTTTCATAAAGCCAGCCCAAACCACCTCGATCGGATTTGTAAAATTGACCTGTTGCCTGCATGGAAACAAGCAGAAGAGCGATGTAATGATTGCTGGAATGTCTTGATCTCATTAAATAAGCTGTTTTATAATAGACCATAAACCCACTGAAAAGAAACCTTTGTCATTAACATTTTATGAGAGCCAGTGCGACAGATATTTCGTGACAGAGTTAGCATTGAGCACGTAAGGTAGAGTAGCTGGCCGCTTGCTGTTTCTTCTTCAACAGACAACGACTATGGGGCAACAAATAAGGTAGTTAGGGATCCTGGGGACCGTGCCACCGTATGCGTACAAAAGATGAAAGGCCATGCTTGAAATTTTCTCTCTAGCGATGATGGAACATACCCCCACAGTATTTGTGTAAATCAAAGAGTAAAGTGATGTAACAAAGTAATTCAAACCCAAAAGAATACATTGGGCTTAAAAAATACTTATGACTATTCCGACACCGCTAATGAACTTGGCATTGAACTATATACATGTATATAAGGCATAGTGTGTGTAAGAGATAGTAAATTGGTCGCTGCAAAAAATCACTAGGTGTTAGTACCCTCCAAATTTATCATAGAGCAATGACACAATTCAAAAAACCCAAAGTGTATTCATCTATCCTACTTTATCAGTTTTGAATGTAATATTTCACTCGTTGAAGTGGTAAAGGCTGGGAACACAAACAACGCTCAAAGAAGAGGTTACGGAATAGAAAGTCTACCACCTGAAGATAGTCACCGTTCAAATGAGTCAAAAAATGAGCATAAAGTTGTATAGTACATAGTTCAAATAAATAACGGGTAGAAATTAAGAGGAAACGCACAGAGTAATGAGATTTCTGACGCAGAGGTCCAGAAAAGAGGCACATGGCAACCACCGTGGCACTGAGAATCCACAGCATCAAGAGGAGCACGAAACTAAAAAAAATAAAATTTAGAGCCAAGTCGAAACAAAGGAAAATGAGGGATCAAAATAGATCGTTATATAGGTATGTTTGTCTTCACTATGACGTAAAACATACCCCAACAGTTCAGGTAATGTATTCCACAAGCACTTAATGGTCTTCTTTAGCATCTGACTGCCAGAGATTAAGAAATATGGCCGGAAAAATCGCCGAACACGGTAAAACTAAAGCAACAAATTTAAGGTAAGTACGCGAAGTTAAATAGCTACATTACCTATTTGACAATTCGACTGAATAACTTTCAAAACAAAGTATCCAGAACAGGTAGTAGGAACTATGAACAATTACAAGTGTTAAATCGACTGTTTAAGAAGCGAATTTTCAAATTCCAAATCAAGGGCTCCAGTGCAACTTAGGGCTTAGCGAAAAAACCAATAGAGCTACACCAGGACAATCTAAATGGAACGGACAATAGTTACCATTTTAACATAATTAAGCAATTACACACTTAAAACGAGAGCTTTGATGTGGAATGCAAAACAAAAAACAATTTTTGCATCAGCTACTCATTGCTAGATAATGCCAAAATAAAAGTATGCTCTACAAGTGTACTACTAAATTCGCGGCCATATAAATGGTCATAAATACAAAGGAATACCAAACCTCAGAGCATCCTGTGGAAATTGATGTAAGCAGATCAAAGAAGGAGATTGCGAGCACCACAAACTGACCGACAAGCCACTTATTCCGCAAAAACTCTTCTCTCCAGAACAAGTAAGCCTTTGCGCAAAATTGCAGAAGGAATGTCAAAAACGGTTGGAGAATGACACGGGCTTGATTCAGTGTGGAAAAAATCTCTTAAAGATAGAACTAAAAGCAGGATTCCAAAGTCCCAAAAGCTTGCAAACATATTACAATAAGGTGACATTTAAGTTACAGAAATTGGGTTTCAGCTTAAGTTACAAGTAGGAAATTATACCAATGCATCAAACATAGTTGAATCACTCTCAACAATAGCATTTAGAGAATATCAGCGAATACTGACTACCAAGAAGTCAATGAGAAGATATCACGTCAAATAAGAACTAGGATTAGAATAACTTACCAATAAGACGCCTCGGACCAAAAATACCGACAAGCATATTGTTTCAATGCCTTCTAAAACACCACATGGAACAACAGGGCGTACAACAGAATTTCCCAAGTAAGATGAACGTGTAAGAGATGAAGGCCATTCAAAGAATGGTAAAATGAAGAGTATGACCAGGCAAACATTTGATATGAATGAAAACGACTTAGAATAGTAGACACGATAGACTTTAATGCGTCGACGATCAAGACCGTGCAATATTGACCGATACTAAAGGTGCTCATCAAACAAAGCAGTTCTTACCTGAATAGCACTTTCAATCAAAACAGAAGCTTTAACAACGGATTCATCAGGAGTCATCTCATGGGTCGGCAGTAAAAGGCTGACATATCAGTCTTTTACAAGGAAATTCAAATACTCTCCTGAAATTCTGAGTATTTAAAAAATTAACAGTTGTAAAAATACTAGCTTTCTGTGCATCCGAGGGTATTTGACTCAAAACAAATTTTAAAATTTTGCCTGTGCAGCATAAATTGTGCATTTATCGAAAACGCAAGTTTTTAAATAAATTCACTTCATCCACGCACACCTGAGACAAACGCACATTAGCACATGCATTAAACTGCATTCATTGACTTAATGCTAAAGGCATCACCCGTCCTAAATTTGCAAAAGAAGTTGTTCCAAGTGTTCGAAGACACCCTCGTACAACACCCCCACCTGCCCATCGGCAGTGCACGCCGAAACCACCCACGCTTCTAAATACCAACCTAGTGAAAATCTAGAACAAGCAAGCTGCGGCAGTAACCGATTCCAAACAACCAAATGACGGAATTCCAAACCCTGTATACACGATTTAATGATAATAGCCAAATATGTACAGTTCACGTCTCAAGGAGGTAACTTTTGTTGACAGTGAATACCTCCACCAGTGGCTCTGATTAACTCCGACTTAAAAGCTGACGCTGACCACAGAACACCCCCAGGAAGTGCGACCAAATCCTGTACCTGGGGGAATTTCAATGGCTCTGTGTTTTCCAATCCTTCCGTTGCGGTCCTTGAAGTGTTAGCTGATGCAGCGTCGCCGTTCTCCACCGGCGACGAATTGACTATCAATACTGAGAACACCGCAAGAAACCACCTTAAACAGCCCCAAAACATCATTTGGGGGCAGAAATGTATGCGTATTCCACTAAGAAATTATGCAAGTGGTACCTGAGTAGAGCGATGTGTCACGCGGCAGGGGACGCTTTCTGCCGCTGGCGTTCCTCTGTCTGTTAGTGTTTGAGCGCATCCGCTGATGTGTTCGAACGGTGGCGACAGCATTGAATTGACGCACAGCAGATGATGGACGGAAGTTGCCATCCTCGTTGGGATGATAAAGTCCGAAGATGAGTGACACATCATGCTTAATTAAGCAAAAATTCAAAAAATCTACAGTAAAACAAAACATATCGCTTTCGAGACCAAGTAATCTCAAAAGAACGTCCCTCCAACACGTGTATGAAAGGTAGGAATTAAAAACAGGGAAATGGCAACGTTTTGAATATCTCCAACAATATTGCACGCAAAACTAGCCAGTTTGAAATCACAGGAAAATCGTTAATTTTGTTGCAAATTAATAAAATTGGGGATTGCTATCCTTTCGAACTGATCTAATGTAAAATAGACCGTTCATTTCATAAGTGAGAAAAAATGCACATCATTTTACTCTATAACTAGAAAAGGTACCCCGCCAATTTATGAAGCGGCGTTGGAAATGAGGTAATAGAAACTATCTCAATCAACAATTCAACGAGTTTGCGTCCCAAAAACAAAAATAAAACAAGCTTACACTTTTGACAAGTGTCCCACTGTTCAAACTTTCTTAAATAAGGCAATATTTTAAAATCACTATTCTATTCAACTTCGCTCACATTTCATCTGTAAAGTGAGCAGAAATTCCATCAAACTCGATAACTTATGTGCTACCTAGATCATCTTTTAGCCGAACAATACGGAACTCTTCCAACATGCGTAGGACGGACAGCTCTCGATAAGACAAATTGAAAGCTACCTCAATCAATGTTTCACCAGCTTTTCGTCCCAGCCTCTGAAGAGTCTCGGGGCTAGAGAGCTGATCAGCGTGTGCCTGCACAACATGCTTCCAGGCCAGAGTAGAGGAGTTGAAGCCGCAGACACTGGAATCGGCGGATCTTCGCGAAGCGATGGGCGAATCGATGATAAGGGAGGCAGGGGCAGCAGGGGCGGTATTGACAGGTGGGATGGATGAGGGATCAGAAGAATGGCCAGGTGAAGGCGAGCACCAAGGACACACGTAGAGCGGTAGCCCTGGGTGATAGGCGGAGTCAAGGACATGCCGACGCAGCGCCGAGAGCTCCACGAAGGTATGAGGACAGTGTGGACACCGATAAGGCCGTGTATCCAGATGGAGGCGCGAGTGGCGACGCAAATTCGTCGAAGTAGTCGCCCGGTAGTCGCAAAACTCACAGGCGTACACATAGCCTGACGAATATCAAGACTATTGAGTCCACTTCAGTTCAGACATGCGTGAGCGTGTACCAGTACTTACCCAGACCGTGAGTGGCTCTATGTTGAGCTAGCTGTGAACTGGTTTTACCACGATAACTGCAGCCGGGGAAGGAACAAACAAAGGGTCGATTGGTGAGGTGCAAACTCATAGGCCAGGTTCTGTGAGGGTTTGATAAGAGGACGCGATTAAAATCTACCGGATAATGAAAATAAGTAAGCAGAACAGAATAAATTACCTCTCACAGGACACAAAAGTGGATGTCAGGCCAGCGAACTTCAAGCGATTACCAAGCTAAGCTGCGGAGGCAAAGTGACGGATATAAAATGGTAACATAGAAACAACAGGACCGGTCAGTGCTGATTTGGAAAATCCTCTACCTGTGGGAAAAAAGCAGTGAGTAAAAAGATTTCGACCATCAAAAAATTATCGAAGCACGCATTCCGACCTACAACCATATAAACTATATGAACAGATGGAATGAACAGATAAGTCCATAAAGTACCCATATAAAAGTGCATGAAAAAAAATCAGGGAGAAGTTTTTTATTCGTGAAACACAAGGCCCAACTTTCGAGGTAAAAGACAAAAGTTTACTAGATTACATTATTACCATGGTTCAGAACAGCAAAACTAGAATCAATATCACATATGATAGAGTAAAAGGTACAAAACAACACAGGAGCTAAGCAGGAACTACAAAATAATAAAATAAACCAAAATAAGTCCAATTGACCCGTGGTTTTAAAAGCACATCAAGAAGACTAACTCTAAAATGTTATTTAGGAACACTATAAGGGGGATGGAGTCATAAATAAGGAAATTAGGCGTAAATAAAGCGACGAATGAACTTAGTAACTCGCCAAAACGAGTGGGCTTTTGGGCTACGGTGGACATCCAGGACATATTAACTTAGGCTAATAGGAAAAATATGCCAAGGCAATATTTGTGGGATACATTGCCTGAATTCCGCTTAAATGGATTCCACCATAAGTTTTACGAAGATTTTGGAGACTACACTATACTCTAACAGTTAACAAGAAGCAGGAACCAAGTAGCAATGTCCTTAATGGTCTTTTTTGAGTATTTTAAGGCAAGCAATATCTTGCCCTAAAAACATGAATTAATAGCTTCAAAAGTCAAAAACATTTAAATGCCTGTTTCATTTATTATGTATTTTATCTTTATTATTATTTTTGATTATTTCTCACTAATGCAAGGCACGTTCCTTGTTTGAGTGCATTAATTGGCATCCAGTGCAGTTGTAGACTATTTGTGTTTGAATTTCCGGGCTCTTTATTAAGCGAGCCGCCGCGTTTGTTGCCTGACGGAGGTGGGCTCTGTCCTTCTGCAGGCGTTCTGCTTTGCTTCCCTCTCCGTTTAGTCCCCATTCCTTAGCTTTATCTGCTTATGAACTTCGTGAGCACGCTTCGAACCTCCCTACGTTCCAGGGGGATGTGAGTTTATACAGCCTATGAATCACAGCCCTGCTTGGAACCAAAGGAGCTTCCTAAACGCCTTTGGCTTATTTTCCATTTCTTCAAATATTTACCTGCTTGTAACGCTTCTGCACTTTAGGTTTCCCTTAGATTCTTATTTCATCTCTGTGATTTGATACCGTTTCTTGAGAGTTGAACCGACTTGTTCGCTATTTGTAATACAGTCAGTGATCAGTACTGTGATTTTCTAGTTTGAATGATGTACTTACCTTTTTTTGTGTCTTATTCCACCTCAATGATGTGTTCAAAATGTGTGGGAAGCTTGTCGATGGGCGGAACATACTGGTACTAAGTCGGCACCCGCATAACTAGATATACGGTTCTAACAAATCACTCACGTTTGGGCATCGCCTCTGATGCTTCTTGCGGTTGCATGTGCTCCAGTTATTTGCAATTTTGACACAATGATAATTGGTTTTCGCCTGTCGAGGCGGCGTTTTGAAGGCTATCCCTAAAAACTATCATGGGGATTCATCGCATGCGCAGAAAGCTCTATTCCTCAATCACTGTTCGTAAGAATAGTTGCCTCACAAACTAAGCCAGTTGCTAAACCACTGGACTTGGCATAGCTTCGTTCAGTCGCTTTCGTCATTCATTCCTACTTGCCACTTTTGCTCCCAAGGGGCTAGTCTCCGCTTCCTTGAATGTAGTGGGGGCACATTTCTTTACAATCCAAACGCGTACTCTCATTTCTCCACATATTCAACCATCCACGGTGGATGTCCTCACTCCATGCTGCTTAGGCTTAGTAACCAGTTGGTAAAATCGAGTTTGCCTACTTCTCCTAACAAGGTAGGTTCGAAGTCCTACCGCATAAGTTGGGGAGGGCATGAACAAACGAAGGGATTGCTAGATTTAACAGAAGTGGGGTGGAGAGAACGCCAATGGCACAGACGGTGGTGGGAACCTCGAAGCTGGGCGAATCGATCGAATGCCGTCCCATTCTATGTCCACTCAAGACAAAAAACCTGCAACATTGACTAATCCCTTGTTTTTTATCGTATCGATGCTCCATATGGAAGAAGCTCCTCCCCCTCCGCTTTTTTACTTTCACCGCCACTAAATCACATACATGTACAAACTTCGCAATCAGTGAGGCTTACTGCGTTTAGACCAAAGGGCTTGGAAGTAGAGTTTGATAAAAACAACGACCACCCTACAAAAGAGGTAGCACCATTAACTAAAGCACACACCACGACCTCATTCACCTAGCCGAGCAGATTAGCACGGCGCAAGTTCACCAGAATTCGCAGCATGTGCTACTGGCCTTCTAACAACAACTTTCGTATAGACCTCGAACTCCGGTTTAGGACTATATAGGCCAACTATCTCGAAAGCACTTGTTTCCCGCTGTGGGTCTAAACCTTGAAGTTAGTTTAGTTACAAAGACCATGACTGTGTCATTGAGGTCGTGGCACAGGCGTGCCGGCTGTTCAGAGGCTGGGTGGAGGGGGACGACTGTGAGGTAATGCCTCGCGGTGTGAGACCACAAACGTTTTAGGACGAAGTCACAGTGTTTACGCGATAAGTGTACAAAAGGTGTGATCATATTTCTATTCGTAGGTTCATTCCGCAAACGAATACACCAGCTCCTGCGGTAGTAACAACCCCAGTAATTAGCCATTTCCAGTGAAGCTAGAAAATGCATCCACATCTCTTCCAAAGAGAATTAATACTACAAAGAAGACCGAAATTCCCTCATTCAATTTTGATGCATTTAAGTCAAGTCAACTACTACACGAATGAGGTTCACAAAGTGGTATGGTAAACCTAAGGACGCCAGACGGTCGGTCGGTGAGCTAGAGAGGAGACCATAAACACTATCACCTGTCCGTTGTGTTTACCATAATATGATCAAGTAGAGGCAGTAAGTGGCAGAAATTATAAACAGGGTCCACATAATAGGCAAACTACTCAAAGTTCCAGGCTCTCTCACACAGTCTCTCCTCCATAAATGCAGGGGTTTTTTAATATGAAAGGAAAACAAGGGCTGCAAAAATAGGGCAAAAAATATGAGGAGTCAGAGAGGTGTTGAAAGGCACTCAAAAGATTGTTCTAAACGAGTGGGGGAGGACACTCCTCATCACTGAAGTTTTCATCAATAATTGCCTCCACATCAGTATCAGTGGCGCCATCGTAAGGACGGCAGTGTTCTGTCGTGGAAACGCCGCCGAACTCGTTGCTTTTGAAGGGCATTGCACGTCGTTTTACCGCGCGGGAATCGAATTCAGTAGTCCCATTGACGCCTTGAAAACGACATATTGAAGAAAGGAGTTCTATGTTGTCTAGACAAAAAAGAATGGGTGATCAGAAGTAAGGTTTGAAAAGGGTCACCCGTAATGGGTGGTGTTCTGAAAGGAGTAACGCATGAGAGAGGATAAAATTTTAAGGTAGTTTTTAAGGAACATTTGAATTGGAAATAAATTACGTTTCTGTCTTCAGCATGAAATTTTGGGGGTACACTATTCTGTCCTTCGTGAATTTCACGTAAACATTTTCTCCTTACATGTTAACATTGCCTGTACAGGTTATCACATCACAAAGTTTGAGCAGCTCAAAATAGTCTTATGGACCTTATAATCTCGCAAATATACGAAGCTCCGTTTTATCCTGTTTTATCTACGACGTCCGGGACTTCCATTAACTAGTTCGTAAATGTAACTCATGATGGTTTTTTGACCAGATTGCTAACACCCACTGCTTTCTATACACAACGAAAGCAGATGGGATCCAGCGTTTCATCTCTCATGGAAGTGTTCTAACCTTACACGAAAGCATCAAAGGAATCTAAGAGTTCCTATTAAAAAGCTGTTCTACAGAAAAAGTGTGTTAAATCAAACGCAGACGGTGAGAATCGGAGGCAATTTTCTTCACAACGCACGAGACCAACATTTCCTGCAACCACGCGACTCGGAATTATTTTGATAAAGTAAGTCAGCAAGACCCGAAAGATGTCCACCTATGGTGTAAGAAATTATTTCAGCCATCTACGTATTCAACAGCTAGGACACAAAAGATGTAATACTACAGGTTTTTGATTAAAAATACACGTCGGTACTACGTTAACATTATGCCATACATAGGTATTGTTTTCCGGATCTATGTCCAGGTAACGATTAATCGTCGTAACTACCACTAGATTTACTCATAAAAAACTTTTACTGGCTTGCTAGCAAAGGGCAGCTACTAATGAAGGAAGCCTCCATTTTTAATAAATCAGATGGCTAACAACAAAGCCGATAGCCTGACTTAAAATTGTTAAAATTGTTCTTATTTCAATAAAGTATAAGCCAGGTGAGACAGCAAGACAACATCCGAGAACATCAGCGATGGGTCAAATGCGCACAAGCACTTACCGGGAAACCTCGAACCAAGAACAGCCAATTCCAGCGGAAGTCGATCGAGAAGACTCCATCTCAACCCATCAATGAGAACTTCCTTCACTCGATGCGCGTTAGCAGATAACTCACAGGAGGCTCTCAACGCCTCTAGTGAGTCACGTAGTCGCGCCTCTACCTGCTTCGATTGAGGCGCTTTGAGGGGCCGAAATCTGCTACCAATGGCACCAGCCGCCTTGAGTGGAGGCCAAATAGCGACGGCGCGGGTCGCCACCATGGCAGCGTAGTGACTTCCAGCCGCACAAGTGGCACCAGTAGAGGAAGAGGAGGAATTGCGGTCCGCAGCGGGGGTAAGGCCGAGACGCCAGTTCATTCCACCAGAGAGGTGGGCATCGGCCCATCCTACTTGAGAGCTAATCCATTCCAGAGCCCCAAAGGACTCTGGAGTATCATGAAAGGCCAAGTAGTTCTCGTGCAACCAGGCTACCACGTCATCGCCAGTCAGACCGCTATGATCTAGGACTGACTGAGGGATGGAAGTTAGCACTTTACTTTGGGTACAAATAGCTACTGAGATAAATAAAAGTAGAATTGCCTTGGAGGGAAATGCAAATATTAGTTGGATAGAGAGTTACATAAAACTATTTCTTCAAATTGTTTAGTACTATGTACCGAGGTTGCAGTAAGAAGTCAAAATTCCCGAGACTTAAAATACGGATTTATTTAAGGGTCTGACGTGAGTGGAATATCGAAGGAAAATAATCAAACATACCTCAGGGTTGAAAGACAAAGGAGCTCGCTTCCAAGTTTGCAAATGAGGAGGAAGAAAGGACTCACTACATGGGGTAGAATCACTAAGTCCTGCAGCAAAGGAAGAAAGAGTACAAAAAATTACTAATTCAAATTGGCTAAGGACACAAATAGTATTATCTGTAATCATTTTAAAGTCGACTGTATGGAAGGGCGCACTTTTAGCGTGAAGAATTTTCCCCAACGCATGAAAAACAGCAAGTCCTGAGTCACGTTCGTATAGATCACTGCCCAGCCGAAATTCGTTGTTTGACTTCATTTCTAAATAAAAAAAAATATTTACTCTAAGGGAAAAATCGAGAAAACAAGCACCGACGATATTAAAAAGGAAGCAAGTATAAGACAGAAAGTAGGTCAGAGACTGAGAAGGAATGAGTAATGAAGAGGACCAACCGGGCATGAGAGCAAATTGAAGGTTATTGATAGCCAGACGGATGTCACCAGAACTGGAAGCAGCTAACCGCTGAAGGAATGACTTTGGAGGTGCGGGAACACCTGTCTAGAATGAATCAAATCATAATAGTAGTAGAAGGCGGATTTAAAAAAAAATCGCACTAAGAGTTTGACGAGAAATACAAATGCTAAAAGGTGGATGAAAACAAGAAAGAAAACCTATTTTGAGTGGTGCTCTGCTTAAATACTGAAGCATGTCAAGTAGTACATTCCACGAGCGAGCTACATGTATGTATATATGTACTTGATGATCGGTGCCACAAATGACAAAGAGGAAATAAAGGGTTCATTGCAGTTATTACTAAAAATTAGTATCAGAAATACCTCATTGGATACGAGCTCCACAACACGGGAAAGCGCCTTCGTCATGATTAACGGTGCAACAGGATTGAACTCAATCAAATAAATTCCCAGTTCTTGCCTAAGCCATTCAGGGAAAAGTCTATTTAAAGTAGCATTGTCAAAATTGCACATAACAGGATTCCCAAAACTGTTAATGGACGAGGATTTAGTGAATACAAAAGCCAATAGAGTAGGCACAAGGATGTCCGACAGAGCTGAACGGATGCATTTGTGAAAGAGAGGCGGTTTATCACTAAATCCAGGCGATAAGCTCTTTAGAAAGAAAAAAAGCAATAATAAAGCGCAAGCGTCAAGAACTTGAATCTAGAGGTTTGCTGAGTATAATGACTTCAAGAAAACATTATCTACATTCAGAAGTGAATAGTTGCAAAAAAGAACAATCCTTCCCTATATTTGCAAACACACCTCGATAAGCACCACGTGTGGAGCTTCGGATTGCTGCTTTGGCGCGGAAAGATTAAAATCAATACTCAATTCATCACCAGAACCACAGTAACGAGTTGATTTAAAGAGAAACTCTTCAAACTGTTGCATTCCACTTGAAGCACCGTCACCGCTTTCCCAATCACTTTCTGTCCAAATAAGGGGGGGTGAGTAACCCAGTGTCCGACAGACCGTCAGCAAGCACGTTGATTTGGAACTGCCCGGAGGTCCAGTAAGAACTATGACGCATTTATTCCTAGTCCTTACATTCATGCACACTTCTGTAACTTCCCGCAGTTTACTATGGTGGACAGCTAACTCCTTCTGTTAGAAAGAATAATAATAGAATTCAATTTCCAATTACGGCACAATTCGGTGCGTACAAATCAGACCAAATCTCGGAATAAGCCTTCGACAATGACGTGCGTTGCGGAGCAAAATTACCGTACCATCTCTCAGCAGCACTACTCTGCTTTTTAAGGGAGGATTTTCCTATGGCCATCATACAAAATCGGAGAACACCACCACATAGGACGAACACGAACACCGCAGCATTAATTAAAGGTTGAGGCAGACAAAATATGTTAGTACAATGAAACAAATCCAAAGGGATTTAAAAGAAAAATACGCTATCAAAAATTTAGGGACCTAACAAGAATTTATTTACATTGATGGGGTTAAACTAGGCACATGAGAGATCATGCTTAAAATATGTTCAGATTTTACAGCAGTCGCTGAAGAATAGTATTAAATCTATAAGTCATTTTGCCATTTTAAAGTGTTTGCATTATGATACAGCGTAAATAGTAAATTGTTCTTGAATAAGTATGCCGATGTAGCAAATTGCGGAAATCAATGAATCTCAAATACTAGTTGCTCTAAAAAATTTATTCTAGTTTAATTTAATCACAATTTCCTTTTAATGGCATTTGTAAGCCCAAACACTTTTTTGGAAAACACCAACGACCCTCATCTACTTCTTGGCTAGCACTTATTCTAGCACTAGTAGTTAACACATCTTTTCCCTAACCTAATATTTTTTGCCATTTTACCATGCAGATATATTTAGAAATAAATCCTTGTTTATATTGATGGATGGATAATCGTAAGGTAACACTAAAGCATCGACGCTGGCCCTAGCTCCGTCATAGGTCTGCATCCTGTTGGTCTCGATTTTGGGCAAATTTCTTCGATTTTCAAGGTTTGTTAACTTTTGGGTCCTCTGATGGGATTGCCCTACCTCGAACCAACTAAGTCATTCTCTCCAGATGGGAGATAACGAAAATATTAACTCTCTTCTGGAGCGCCTTGTTGGGGTTAGAAAGGCAGGCAGAGGGAGGGTCGTCGAACTGACCAAACAACGCCAGGAAATGGTTAAAGCTCAATTGGCAAGTCAGTAGGTTTTTTTCATTCTTCTCTTTTAGTTACAAGATGTGGACAGGGATGCCCAACCTTCCCTGGCACCTCTAAGTTTTTCTATGCCACCCCAAATTTCATCGAAAGATACGCCTTTGAGTACAGAGGAAATGAAAACCCTAGTAGGTGCGTCGCCACTCACTGGTTCCTTAGTTTTTCAACAGACTCAATTCAACTGCATTTGCAATGAGGCTTTACCTGTCAAATATAATTACAGAATCACATTTCTCTGGAGGATTTGCACCATTAAATGTTATTCGTTAACCGTGAACCGCAGGAAGTATTTGGAGTAACGATAGACGCAGTATCTCTGCAAGAAACACATTTTCACTTAGTATTTTACAAGGAATTTTGGGTCAATTGTAGACGATTCATACCTTAATAGTTGCCCTTAGCGTGTTGTCGGGAATCTTGAGGCCAACGTCTGCAAGTTTCTTTTTTATAATGCCATAGGTCACAAACGTAGACGTTTCAAATCGTTCCAAGATCGCCTCTCGGGCCTGGAATACCAGCCAAAAACACCATATCGTAACTTGTACGTAGAGGTGACTTGTTCATCTCCGAGCGACCGTATGGCTATTTACGTAGATAACACCAAAGCCAACTCTTCGACTTAGCTAACAACGACCACGACAGCTCCACATAAATGTGTTTGGGCAGATGTAACCGTTAGTAACTCTAGCCAAGGCGGCGCAAGAGATGCGCGCCGTTTAGACTTGCCTGATGTAGGGGGCTGCTGGGGTCGCCAAATTCGACTGCAACAGGCGCCACGAAAAGCGGCTGTTTGGGCAGGGCTGAGGGCACGTTGGGCCAGTGAACGTGCAGCTCACGGCCTCCTACAGCGAGAGCCACCTTGTATAGCTCGGATTTCAGCATCTCCCTCTCCGCCTCAGAGCCCGGAGGCGCCGGCTTGCCGCTGTTGGTCATTTGATTGGGCAGTGACGCCAGAAAGGGCTACCAAATGAAATGAATTTAGCGTCAGTTGTCAACACAGCACCCGTCCTAGAACTCAAATAATATCACCTGACAGGCCTTGGTTAACTCCGAGAGTGCCAGGATCGGGTGTGAATGCAGCTTTTCCCGCACAAAGCTGCAGATTGCAGGATCATCCACCATCGACCAGGTCTGTTCTGTAGTGGTGTCGGGTTCCTCTAACTTTTCTGCTATGCCCGCGTTGGCAGTCGGTAACATTTCCGCAACCATGGGTGGAGCGGATTGCATCTGTAACCCTGGTTCGCTTCGATAGCTTTGGGGGGAGCCGGGCTCCTGCTTGAGAACTATTTCAAATAAATAGCTTTCATCGTTGCGCTTTCTCGCATAGCGTGAGATCCTAATCGTAAGGGGAACTCACGGTCTGTTGAGGGGTCATTCGTCGATCTAAGTGAGGCGTCAGCTGACGGTGGGGAAGACAATGTTGGTGTTGGCCCTGCCTGTTCAGCGAGCTTAGCTTTCTTCGGTGACTTACTCTGATTCGGTTGAGAAGCGAGGGGGACCTGCTGCTCATTGGGTGCTCCGGCTGAGAAGAGAGGTGGAGTGGGTCTGTTAGGTGAGAGGGTCTGGCGGGGACTGCCAAGTGGACGGGAAGAGGTGCCACGACCTGTCGACGACGTGCTCTGGGTGCGCACTCGCTTCGACGTTGGCTCCAAAGCCTCCGGCGAGAGACTGAGGCGACAGCGACGTCGTTTGGTAGCCGCCGCTTTTGGGCTTAAGGGAGTCAGTATATCGTCAGAGTCGCTCCCTGAGAGACGACCGGAACACCGTCGCCGTCGTTGTGCAGCATCTGAAAGAGTAAAGCGCAGAATTTTAGAACCGAAAATCCCAATTCTTTTCAATGCACCAATGGCTTAATCATAGGCTGATGCGTCAGGCTCGATCAGAGCTTATAGTGTATTCGGGTAAAGCAAACGTAATAGCATATTTTTGTGGGCACCGGCGATCAAAATTCAGGGTCCAATGACGCTACGAGGTGAGAACAAAAAAGGATTTCTGTGATTACGTCAAATAAGAAAACCAGTTTGGCGAAAAACTAGAACACCACAAGAAGTAGCTAAAGCATTCATGCCAAAACGAGGTAAGCGAGTCCGCCACAAGAAGTATACGCTAAGTAGTTTAATAAAGTCAAGACGCCCATTGAAGAACGAAACACAGAAACTAACCTGCAACAAGAACCTCAAGTTTAAGCTGCGTGCATAGCTGTCTAATTCGAAGTTCCCAATTACATGCGTGCTGATGAACGACATCTTGATATCTAAATAAAAGCGAGATTATTGAAACACATCAGGGAACTAGTTAATAGGCGCGTATAATCAACACATAATTGCAACATAAATAACACAGGGTATTCGGACTCGGAATCCGAGATCCCTGGTGTTTTAAGAGTTAGGACGTATATTGCAATCGCGCATATGCATTACAAAAGTAGCACAAACACTTTTTCAATCAAATCAACATGCCTGCTAATGAAATTCGTGTCTGGCTGTCGAAATTCCCAATGGTTGTTATGCCCTTCAAGACCGGAGGAGATTCGAGTTCCAAGTTGCTCAAGGATTTCAGTGACTTCGAGTGAAGGCAACTAAAAGGGTATTTTTATTCCATAATTTTGTCAACAATCTTGGTCAATTAACTATACATTCGTCGAAAGATGATTTGAAATGACGGATTTGAAGATACATAAACAACGTATCGGCAATTAATTGGCACTAGGATGAACAAGAAATTCTTAGTTAAATATGGGCAGGAAGTTACTTAGAGAGCTTCAGGTAAGGATTAGGAAGTATTAATGTTACCATTCTAGAAAACAGTTAAAAGCAAATAAAGTGAGCTTTTAATGTGGTTAACTAAGAATGGATGCAAATCTAATTCAAAAGTTGTATGGCATACGAGGACACACTTTTGTAATTGACGAAACAGTCTTCCTTGTGAGGTGATCACCCCGGTGAAACACTGCCATCTAAAACAGAAAACAGGAAAGAGAATGAGGATGCATAAATAGAACGCCTCAGGACAGCAAAGTGTACCTCCTTACCACGTAATCACGAGCTCTAATTAGTTGTGTACTCGGAACAGATGCGTGCTCACTGTATGTATTCGGAGGATACAAAATATCACTAAAATCAAGGAGAACCACTTTAGCGATATATCATGCACCAAGGTTGAAATGAGTGACAGGCGATGTGACAAAACGAACAGTGAAGGAAATTGTCGCCACAATCCCAAGCGAAAAAGAAATTGCAAATCAGTTACCTTCTGACAACCCACCAACCACGAATCAAAACGGCCAGTCGATTGAGGACAGGAATAACAGCGGCTGGGGTGACGAGATTTTTGTCTGTTGAGCGCTCACGCAAACATTCAAGCAACTTATCGAATTTGATGACTCGAGCTGAAACCGGAAAGGATTCGTAATAATCAACGCAAAGATAAGCAAAATTAGAAACTTATTTAACGCGCCATACCCTTTAAAAGAAGAACCCGGACAAGGTCTTCTAACGTAGCCTTCTTCTTCGGTTCATTTCCAAATCGAGTCGTTCTGGAATAGAGCGAATGTTCATACAGTTACACCAAGACCATGATTTCCACCTTTATGGCGATAATATAATTAGCACTATCTACAAGAACTTATTCTACTATAATAAATATAACTATGAAAACACACGCAGCATATGTAACGACAATAAATATACTCGTTAGCTTCTTCGTGGAGTGGCGAGAGAAGGAGCGATTCCCAGTTATCTCTGGTGAATTCAGAGCCATTGTTTGTAGCATGCTCCACAGAACACATGAGAACTGAACGATGCTCGAAGGCGTACATGGGCTACACGTTTAAAATTTTGAGCGTAACCTTACCTTATGTGTTCTGAACCTGGCTGGTTTCCAGGGTACTAAATAGAGTTGTGATAAGTACCTTAGATCATCATCATTGTCTGCTGTTTTTCGCCGACTTGCGGCACGTTTTGCTCCAAATATCTCAGCCTCAGAACGCATCCTTACGGAAACCACAGTTGCCTTTGACGGAGTCATCGAGGTGGTAGACATATCGCCATCATGAGGCCCATCAGTGAGTTCAGATACTAAAGGATAGAATGCATAGATAATACGAACCACAAAAATGGAACGAACAAACCCACGTTTTATGGGTTCCTTAACGCTGTCCATTATGAGAGGACCATTTTTTAGAGGTACAAAATGACACTCGTCTACCAAGAAAATATGGGTATTTTACCGGACCTACCATTTACAAAATACCCTAGAAGTGATGCCTCCTTTTTTGCTGGAATTGATCTAAGCGTGTAAGAGTCCCTATGACAAGATAATCACAAAAACAACACGAACTTTTTCTCCGAACTGGATTTAACGTTATCCAATCTTCCGTCACCTACATTGATTTCTAAATGATCCAGTGTAGCTTTGATGCGGGTTCCCCTTATATTTTCAGTTTCAAGTGGTCGTTCCTTAATCCTATTTTTGTGCTAAAGCACATATACGATGATAAACAGGTACCAAGAGAAGCAGTAACTGCTTGGAGAAATCTGGGGATATAAAGCAATCAATCTAAAACGTAAACCATGAGAATTCTCTACCTCCTTAACGACTGTTGGTTTCCAATGACAGATGGGAGAAGCCATGAGAGAAGCGAACCGTAAAGAGAACAGCACGGGATGAAGGACGTGAATGTACGCAAGGGTCAGTAGGCATAGCAAATTGATCCTGCAGCTGCAATGCATTTTAAAATTTGGGATTATCCGCATAAAATAGTTTACTACGCATTTGTAGGTCTACAAATTCAAAATTTCGAAATCAAAGGTTTGCTACGCAAAAACAATGTGGCGAAAGTATAAACATCTTTATTTTGATACGCATATAAGATTTATACCCCTAATTTTGTTCACTCTTGAAAAATTATGCAGTGCATTGGCTGCACAAACCCCGATCTTAGTAAGAGGCTGCTTTGTATCCCATCTATTATAACTTGACACGTAGGCAGGCCTGCAGGTTAAGGAGCTAGCCGTGCCTTTTCTGTACTCTGAACATATATATACATACTCTGCTAGAGTATTTGTAGCATCCTAAGACCCATCTGAGGACAAAGAAGGGCATAATACTCAGGTAGAACATATGTATCCAGCACAGAGTAGGTAAATGGGCTACTGGCATGGCCCGAAGACCAGCCCACTCGACGTAGTACAAAGGCCAATTCAAAAGTCGTTCTTCGCCAACAGCAAGGGATGAATAACCATCGCATTACATAGCCTTCCTCCTCTTCTGAGCGTCGTCACCGGCAATCCCACAGGTGAACCCCCACGTCAGCCATCGCAACGAAGTCAGTGCTTGAAGGAAACACTCAAGAGCAGGCCGTACCTGTCATCAAATTTGCATGCAACTGAGGAGATACCTGACTGCATTGCCACTGATACTTCTTCGAAATTTGAGTAAATCTGGAGTTTCGGCCGGTTTGGGAACTTCATTAAGGAATGGGGAATTGTGCCGGCCATCATGCGTGCCCATATACAGATGCAGAAACACTGGCCTAAAAGCAGAATTATATAGGGGAAGACGGAATCTAATATGGGTTTGTGAAGGAAGGATTTCACGTCTGCTCCTCCTCGAAACGAAACTTTCAGATGGTTCACGACTAGTGTCACTTCAGTTGTTAATAGCTTTCCTGCAGAACACGGGAATGGAATAGATGCCACATGCAGACATATATCTCAACCCTTCTGTTTGGGGTCATTACCATTCTCCCATCCACAGCATATGTACATCTTCCGCTTTTCTAAGGTTTATCACGCAGCAGTAAAAATCAGGATAGATGTCCTTTAGGATCGGGTTTGCTTTCCGCTGCCACCAATGTAGCGGCCCGAGACTCCCTGAAGACGAAAGAAGACACAATACTGGGGCAGAATATGTATATTTGGCACAGAGAAGGTATTTGGGCTAGTAGCATGGCTCGAAGACCAGCCCACCCAGCGTGGTACAAAGGCCAATTCAAAAGTCACTCCTCGCCAATACCGAGGGATGAACAACAATCGTATTGCATATTGTACCTCTGCTTGTTCTAAGGGAAGTTTTAGGGTGCTGCATTAATGGCAGCGGAAAACAGGCAAGACTTTAAAGTACATCCACCTTAATTTTTACCGCTGGCCGATAAGCCTCAGCTCAGCGGAGGAATTGTCTATGCTAAGGATGGGAGAGTCGGTTGCGATCCCAATCAGCCAGGCTCAAAAAGACGTTCACAACAATGACAATCTTGTTCTGCGCACAAATGTTATCAACAACAAAAGTAATTCTAGGCGTGAAACGCCTAAAAAATATTAGTTACGGAGTTGCCTACCATGTCTGTGTGAAAATGAAAAGTGCAAAAACCTTTCTTACGTCTCAACCAGATGGAGAGTACCTAAATGAGTAAAATTGAGCAGCTCTCAAGTGAGAACAAAGTGACAAGAGGAAGAGACGTAAAACCTTGCTCCCAAAAAGTTGTGTTAAATCCTGTCTTGCCTTAATTGACTCTGCCTTTAGGTCAGGGGCCCTACGACTAGCTATGGACACGGGTAATAGCCAACATGTTGCACAGTTGCCGAATTCACTTTCCGTAGAGGACGTATCCTTATGTTTGATGGATTCCCTCAATTCACACAAACCAATGACTAATTGGGTTGGTGAGTGGGTGCTTTCCAAAAGCACAGACCACATTGTGGTAGCCGACACGGAGGCTAATCAAGGTAAACATTGGGTAAGGCACTCAAAAGAAGGAAGGGGTCGTGTAATGCGCTGGTTGTTAATTCGCGTTTTTTCGTAAAGAGCCGCGTTGAGTCCTGGCTACTGAACTTGCGCCGGGTGAGCTGTACTCTAAACCATATCAGTAGTCCCGGAACCTATTTTATGTGCTCTATTCTAGCAATACGCTTTTTTTCGTCTTCAGTAAAGCCTTAAGAAGCTAAAATAATACATGTTAAATGACTTGCCTAATAAAAATAGGCTACAAATGAGCCTGCTGGCCGTCTTAAAAAACAACACATAATAACGTAAATGCGGCCTTAACAAGGTGCTCAAGAGGTGGAAAACAAGCAATTCCGGTGTTAAAAATCACTATTACAAGCACTTTTATGCTACGATTAAATAAAGAGGTAACCTTTATTAGTGGAAATTAGGAGAGCGCATGGATACACCCTACAGACATTTGAAATACCTCGGTGCATAATGGCGGAATTCTAGAGCTAGGATGCTGCTGTGAACGCGTCCTTTTATGATAAGTAAACTTTCTTCCACTAGCAAAGTATTTTATGAGTGAATTTTCCTTGTTGCTTTGCTGCCTTTGCCATCTTTGCCCATGTTTTCAATTTTTAACTTCTTTAAAAACTTCTTTTTACTTGCCCAACCATCTGCAGTAATTAATTTATTTGTTGAACTTATCTTAGCTATGGTTTTCCGCCCTGCTGATAAGTAGCTAACGCTTTCCCGCCCTTTTCGCCGCGTGCTCTGTTTGTTCTTAGTCATGGTATGTTGGGTTCTGCCTGTTGTTCCCTTTTACTAGCTGCAGAATTTTGTCCCTCACCTTGAAAATGTTTTGTAAGATTCGTTGTCGACTATATTAGTGTACTGTCTTAATTGGCTTGGCTCTCAGTCTGAATTATGAATACTAGACCGTATCATATTTTACGTATGCGAACGCTTTTTTGTTTACAGTGATCGGTCGAACTCATTTTTCTGTATGAGAAAGCGTGAAGGAAATTGTTTTCATCATGGTGTCCTCTGTGGCTTAACATCTGTATTTTTCGACCTCATCTGAGATCACCTACCATTTATTGCACCATATGTTCGGGTTTTGAGTGTACTATTGGTTTTGAGACCGTAGAAGTGGACTTGTAATCTTCTTGCTCTATCATTCATTGCATTTTATTAAAATGGTTCTTTATTTTCTAGTTTGCATTACAACCGGTTCAAGTTTTAAATCCAGGCGCCGATGAGGAAAAGGCTGAAACGGCGCGTCTAGTAAGTTACAAATCATTGTTTTAATTTGCAATCTTAGTCTTCTTGTATGGGTGCTATTGCCATAGGAGATTTGGTCAAAAGCACCCTCGGTCCTAAAGGAATGGATAAAATCCTTTTGGCCGGTGAAACTTTCGAAGTTACCAATGATGGTGCCACAATCCTTAAATCAATTGGCATCGACAACCCCGCCGCCAAAATTCTTGTCGGTATGCATTTCCTTCAGATGGGATGATTTTTTCAGAGATGAGCAAAGTTCAAGACAACGAAGTTGGTGATGGAACAACTTCTGTCACTGTCTTGGCTTCTGAGCTTCTTCGGGTAAGTAGACATGTGACGCTCATCTCTTAATATATTTTTCGGCCTTTTAGGAAGCGGAGACTCTTGTTTCTTCAAAGCTTCATCCACAAACTATCGTGTCTGGTTGGCGGGAGTCCACGAAAGTTGCTTTAGACGCACTTGAAAAGGCTGCTAAAATTCACCCAGGCGATGATTCTGGTCGTCATAATGATGCCAATTTCAAAGAACAACTTCTTAGGGTTGCCAGAACTACTTTAAGTTCTAAATTGCTGACCCACCATAAGGAGCATTTTGCAAAACTGGCTGTAGACGCTGTTCTTCGTTTAAAGGGTAGTGGAAACCTTGATGCTATTCAGGTATGTATTTTTGAGCAGAATTATTAACTCATTCATCAACGTTGCTACCGACTGTCCCTTTTTGTGTTAGGTAATTCAAAAGCTGGGCGGCACATTGTCTGACTCTTACCTAGACGAAGGTTTCCTGCTGGACAAGAAAATTGGCGTAAACCAACCCAAACGTATTGAAAATGCCAAAATTCTCATTGCAAACACTCCGATGGATGCTGACAAAATCAAAATTTTTGGTTCAAAGATTCGCGTCGATGCCATTTCCAAGATAGCTGATTTGGAAATCGCTGAAAAAGAGAAAATGAAGAATAAGGTTGAGAAAATTATCAACCATGGTTGCAATGTTTTCATCAACCGTCAGCTGATCTACAACTATCCCGAACAACTTTTTGCCGATGCTCATGTAATGGCCATAGAGCATGCCGACTTTGAGGGGGTCGAACGACTTGCGCTTGTCACTGGTGGTGAAATCGTCTCCACCTTCGATTCTCCAGAGACTGCGAGACTCGGTCACTGCGATCTTATTGAAGAAGTAAGCAGATCATGCCCATAGTATCACAGTTTTTTTAGTTTCATAATTCTACATTCCTTTATGGATTTCTTGTTGCTTTTCAGACAACGATCGGGGAAGACCGTCTCATCAAATTCTCTGGCGTTGCACTCGGTGAGGCCTGCACGATTGTGCTGCGTGGAGCCACCAATTCGATTCTGTCAGAGGCCGAACGCTCGTTGCACGATGCACTCTGTGTGTTACAGCAGACCGTGAAGGATCCACGCACCGTAAGCGGTGGAGGCGCCATGGAAATGCTCATGGCTGAAGCCGTTGCAAAAGCTGCTGCTTCGACTCCTGGGAAAATGGCAATCGCTATGGAGGCCTTTGCAACTGCTCTACGGCGTCTACCCGCTATAATTGCTGATAATGGCGGTTATGACAGTGCCGAACTGGTTTCTCAACTTAGGGCTGCTCATGCCACAGGCACCTCCGATATGGGTCTTGGTAGGTTGAATTAGTATTTGTAGTTCTGTTAAATTTTGGATTGGCTGCAGTTTTCTTGTATTTGGCTTTGTGCAATCTTACGTGACCTTGTTATTCTAATTCTTATTCGTTTAGATATGGAACATGGTTGCATCGCCAATATGGAAGATCTGGGGATTACCGAATCCTATAATGTGAAGCGCCAGATGATCATATCTGCATCTGAGGCTGCCGAGATGATCATCCGAGTAGACGACATTATGCGGGCCGCGCCACGTAAACGCCGCGAACCCCATCACTAAGCTGTCTCGCGTCTTCGTTTGCTCACTGGTTGCAGTGCATTTTGTTATTAAATGGGTCTCTGCGAGTTTTAATACGTACGCTTGAGTTGTCGCGTTTGTTGTGGTTAGGCGTGCGGTGGGTTGCCCATGTGTGGGGCAGCCGCGGTTGAGCAATTGTGGCCCTGAGTGGGCGTTTGGTCCGTTCTATGTAGCTCTCGATAACTTTAGGGGGGGAGGTGGTCTTTGTGTAGTTGGACCGATCAAAACAACTAGTGAATTGGACAGTTGTGATCACAAAAAAGAGGACCGGTCTCCGGGAATACCTGCTACATAACACTTGGATTTTGAAATATGGGAGTTGCCAGTTACTGACTTTGCCCTAGCGTGCGGTTTACAGTACAAATAATTCGTTTGTGTTTGAGGGGGTCTAACATGCTTATGTTTATTGCTCAAATGGGTTTAAGACTTATTTAAATGACTTCATATATGAAGGTCAATTGCGCTCATTAGAGGTCTCACTGATTCGATTGTGTGAAGGTCAATGTTCAGTGCTTAGGCAGTTTTCTGTTATTCCTGGGGAGCGGTCTCAACTTTTGACCAGATACTGTGAGGAATCAAGAGTTATCAATTCTGCTAAGCCTACCTATGTTTACTGGAGAATCGCATACTAAATAAGAACTGCGCAATTGTAAAATAATTTGGGTTTAGGGGGAATGAGGTACAGATAACAGCACTACTATTTATTACTGGTAATTACTGCCATCCAGGACGGCTACTGGTGGTGCATAGCTACTCCTACTCGACTACAACTCACTGCCTACGTGTTTAATTAATACTTTGTGATTCTTTAGGCTTTAGTTAATTAACCTACAATCCCCAAGTCTACTCACACCCACTTTTTATATCTCAACAAATTCCACTAAGATGGAACAATTTTCTAGGTTTTGAAATGAGCATACTTCGCGTCCGATACGTTGATGACCACTTCCTATTTCTTTGTATCGAGGGGGGCGAAACAACCCTCAACGCGTATTCATTTAGCCACTACTGGTCTTCGAATAACGATTTACTGCCATTGTCATCTAATGCGGTGCTCGTGGACACTTTCGTGTCCGCCAAATCCATAGAAGTAGAACAGAATGGGAATGACACCTTACTGGTCAAGTGGAATGAGACTGAGGTAACTCATACCCCAACTTTTCATATTTTCCAGACTAGAAAATTCAGTGTAGACCTATCTAGAACCCAAGCCAACCTTATTTTTCGGAGACTTTTTGCTGGAATTTCGGCAGATGCCGATGAAATCAAGAAGCTCTCATCAGCCAACCAAGAGCTAAAATCACTTGCCGACTCGGCTGTTAAGAAGTACTCCGACTTAGCCGTCGCGAGTGCTGAGAGAGAACAACTCCTCCTCTCAAGGTTCGCTGCCTTACTGGAACGGAGCAAAACTCAAAAGGGCTACGACAGAGTCGACAATGCGACGATTGATTTCGCACCTTGGGAGGATGAGGCTGCTGACTTGCCGAACCCCAAAAGCCTCGTAGGAGAGCGACTCATGGAAACGTTAGCACAGAGGATCCCACCCAAGAGGACTTGCAAACGGTACGTCGCACCGCCGAAACTCAATTATGCTAAAATTTAGACTACCCATTCCCAGATCAGGGATGCCAAGTGGTTTACCGGACCTCGACGAACTAACCTGAACTCCAGAAATCACAATTTCCTTTTATTCCATATATAAAAATCTAGTAGCATTATGGGGTTCATGGTAGTATATACAACACGAAGGGAGCTTTGCTCGTAGATACAAACGCAAAACACCTACTACTCTTTTTGACGAATCGGGACAGCCGGAATCCCGTATACAACGACAGATTTTCCCACGAGGCTTTGCAACTTGCACGCCTTCGTAGCTCTGAATATCTTCCATGTCATCGATAATGGTGTTGTATCGTCTTCATCCTTCAGCAAAATCCACTTGTCAATGAATTTTTGGGTGAAGCGATCGATGTCTTTGTCTGTGACGTCCCACAAAAGCGAAACTGCAGTAGGACTAAAATGTAGAAAAGCCTTCGTGAAGTATTTGGTCGGGGTGGAACTCCAAGATCATTCTGGCAAGCCTCAAAAAAAAAATTAATCTCATTAATTATCAATCATCAGAACTAGTTGGAAGGATAGGCAGCTTACGCTCCGGTAATAAGATGGTTGAAGACAGAAGCGTAGGCCTCGTGTCTCCCTTCTAAGCGCGGACGACCAGAGCTGCACCCGATGATGAACGCCACAGCCTTGGCATTCTGGCCCTCGTCGAAGGCAGACATGAGGCATTTTGAGCCGTTTCCGTGACCCAAATAGACGAATAGATCCTTTTGAGTGAACCCGCGTAATACCTCTTGCGCCTGTGGCGCACGCCCAAGAATTCCATCCCAATTGGGGAAATTTTGATCAAAGTAGCTCTTAAAAGTGCTCTCTGTGTGAGACAGGTTGGCCTCCGGATTCACCACGTAGAAGGTTGAGTCTGGATCGAACTTGGCAAAATGGGATTTAGTTAAACTAAGATGACCAATGACGAGGCTGATGGAGAAATTCCGACAGACGGCAGGAACATTGCATTTTGCTTCGTTCTCATCCCACTGGCCCCAAATAAGCCATTCCCATGGTAGAAGAGTCAATTGCTGAAGATGAAGAAGGAAAACAATCATATTCGTAAAGTTGCGACTTGGAGGTAAAAAATCAAAAATGATGAAGAGGATCTCACCCGATCAAGTACCAAAATGCACGGTCGCTCGTAGAGGGAGGCTTGTAAATGGCCCCGTCCTTTAATCCATTCAAGGTCTTCAATGGTGAACCACTGATTACGCATTTCGTCGATAAGGTTCTGAAGACGTAACGAAAATGAGGATTAACCTCAAATCCATAACGATAGTCACGTACTGTTCCGCAAATGTAGGGGGTGAATTAGACCTAACTTCGTGTTTGAGACATAACCGCCTCCAGAAAACGCTTACAAGGCATTATGATTTATTACATTACCTTCAGTCGACTATCGAGAGAAAAACGCAGAGACCAAAATCGACGGCGGTCCTCCTCCTGCATTGACTCGACGTTCTGACTTTGAAGATCACTGAAATCCTTTAGATATTGTAGACCCTAAAAGTGAAAAAAAGCGGTAACTCTCACAACGCTAAAGGAGCATTCACTCGGGTATCATAAGGAAGGTTATAGATTTTGATACACCTCCAAGATCCGAACTACTTCAAGTACAGTTTGTCTAGCACAAGCAAACGCAGTACATGCTTACACTGAAAGAGAATCTATGAATAACACGTGACTCGTACGCCGCTTCCGGACCACCAAGAACCCATCGTGTGGCGATGAGGTAGACTTGCTTTCGAGAACCCAACCCACCAGAAACGAGGTCTCTAGCCGGTTGGGTGCCGTCGCTATCGCAGTCGTCGAACGTCTGTAACTGACCTAATTCGTCCACCAGCATTAGCTGAACCACGTTCACGGGTGGCATGTTGCTGGCGCGGATATTCAAGTATGCGCTGGAGTCGTTTGGAGCTGACATTGCGTAAATCGACCTCAGGGATTCCGCAGATCCCTCAAATCTGAAGCAGCATACATCTGTATAAAATAACGGTTACCTAATGCCTAATAACAGGGAACGTGGGAATAAAATCTTATTAGAAGACCATCTCTATTGTCTTAGTTCATATAATGAATAAATATTGAGCGGATATGGTGCTAACATCTCACTGAAGCACACACATTGTTCGCAAACGCAATGGGCTCCTGGATATTGTACAAGAGATGCCAAGATGGTAGCAGTAAAGAGCCGTAAATAAATCTCTTTTCTGCCAACCTTTGAACACAAAGCAAATTTACTCGAAAATTATCGGTCATGCGTATGAAGTATTTGTAAGAGGCACAATATTGGTGCACACGTTACCCTCAAAAGCAGATAACGAAACGTAGGTAATCATCTCAAGAGTAGCATTCAGAAATGGGACCATAGGAAATATGCATTTGTCGTAGTTACGCCACGATTTTCACACAGTATAAGTATGGACGTAAATAACCTCACCATCTCCAGAAAGCGGTCAACAGCAAAAGAACGTCCCGCGTCAGAATGAGTAATGCACATAGCTGAAGGAAATGAATGGGCGACATCCATAAAATTGTGCTATACTGTCACACAGTGCAGTGAGTCTAATTAAGCAATGTCGGGTTAGCCTAATGCTCACCCGAATGATGCATTACCGTTTACGGAAGATGAACGAAGAGCAATCTTGTAAGCACACTTAAACATAACAAGACACGTACTTAAGTTTGGAAGAGAGAATTGACGTAAAGAGCCCACATGCAGCGATCCCAGTTGCCTGGCCAAAGTAACGAGCGGCCTGGCCCTGATTTCCGAGCCCCAGCCAGCGCAATCCTAGCCACTGACAGACCGGCCGCAGGAGATGCGGCACAGGAAGCGCGGATAGGCTAGAGTAGGCGGAATAGAGACGGTCAGCGAAAGCGTCCTGCGCATTAACCAGGGTTTCAGGAGGGTCACACAAGGGCGACAGTGGCGCAAGGTTGATGCGAGGATGTCCCGAAAAGAGATACTTTTTGGTCAACTTGACGTTACGAGGGAGTGGAACACGGAATGCTACTGCAGGACAGGTTTCAACTGGATCTCCAGCCTCTTCCTTCATTCGCTCACCATCGTCCGTATCGGAGTACTCGGGTGCACCAGACATTGCAGATTCCTACGGGGACAGAAATAACAGTAATAAACCACATTTCATGGCTCAAAGTACAGCTAATATCTTATAACAATAAAAATGGTGTTTTGATGATAGGACAAGTAGCCTGCGAAAACGGAATGGAGATGAAACCTAACCTTCTGAACGTCGGTATCCCGGAGAATTTGGAGAGGTGCTCTAGGCTCCCTGCCAAACACAAAATTTGATGTGGAGGAACCAAGATGGGTTTGGGGAACAGCAGGGGAGCATCCAACTGGGGTTTCAAAAGCATTTGAAACTTTCAGACTGAAATCTACTGGTTTGCGACTTCCACAAGAATAGTCAATGCTTTCGAATCCATCGATTTCTAATTGAAATGGAAACGAATCCGCCGTCAATTAAATTTTTAATGACAGGCAACAGGAGTGGGAGCAAAATAAACAAACGATCAGACAAATCATAACCTAATGTGAAAAAAATCACTTGAAACAGAGTAACGAAATTACTAGATTATAAATCTTGAAGAACTACTTACACAGCAAAGTAAGTTTACCTGGTAATAGTTTATGCCAAATTATTACAGAACTTTCAGAACAAAGTAAACGTGCACTTCAAAGAAAGAATATACCTATAGGTCCATTATAAAAGTAAATAAAGAGGTGCTCACTTTTTCGAGTATCCGCTGGAGCAGACGAATCCTTAGTGGAACTGATGCCTCGTCTAGTTCTCGATGCCACCACGGCGTCGACATCGTTCAGCCAGGAAATATCCAATCGGCGAGGCGCATTCGGTGGATGAACAGACCCATTCAAAATGTCCTCCTGATCCGTCGAAGACAGTGGAGTGGATCGAGTCATTTGAGCTGCTCTAGCTGCCGCACGGGCTGCTTTCGTCATCGGTCGGGCCGGAGTGACAGCAAAACCATTTGAAGACACTGAACATTTACTCTCCAACATAGTTGAAAGATCGTCTGGTGAGGTCGATTTCTGTAAAAATTTCAATTATACGCAGCAAAATGATGGTGAATGATGCTGATTACAAAATTAGAACCATACTTACCTCCTCAATAGTTTGACTAGGCGGTATAAGTGCAGAAAAAAAGTGATCACGACCAATGACTTTGGTCCTTATGAGATCGGACACTTCCCCCACCCAAACCCACAGACATCCGTTTAGAATTCTATGAGCGCATGCTTTCGTTGTGAACACACCCTCCTCCTCAACCGTCCTCTGCCCGTTTTTTTTGGAAAGGACCCTCGTTAGAGTCTGAAGAGATGGATAACCGCTTGGCGAGTTCATAACAGCAATACCCTTAATGGGCGTAGCAGGATACAAATCTGGCAGACCACCGGCCAAGGCATCCACCACCGGATTTGTGGCCATTCCATCGTACTCTTCTTCACCTTCGCTATCATATAGCCTTTGAGTGGGATGTTTCCTCTCATTCGGGCGCTGGAGGAAACTGCTCTCCTCATCGTCTTCCTCATCCTTCCCATCACCAAACTTATTGAATTTATTTGTAAGATGCGCCTCCCGAGATTTTATTATATCGTCGAGTGAAACAATGGAATTCAGAATGTGATTCAATTGAGAGAGGCGCAGATCAAAGGCCCATTTGCGTTGAGAAATAAGGTCAGTATAAGCCATCATGCAAATTGCTGATTGTGCGCTTTAAATTCAGAAAATTAAGGACATTAGTTGAGTAGAAAAAACCGACAAGACCGTAAATTTAAGTAAAAGCGCGCATACCAACAGGGATTATGGAACCTCTGGGCAATACGAAGCAGTTCTAATTGATAAACACGAGCCTCTTTGACAGTACCAAGGAGTGTGTAGAGTTCCGCAACTTGAAGCGTTCCATTCAAGAGCAGCCGAGAGCCCAACCACAAATTCACCATGTCTGAAACTGTAACGAATATGCAAATTAACGGAAGCGCCTGCCGAACTATGGCAAAGTATATAACTAGATTGGTGAACTTACCAGGAACATCAGACGCAGTTAAGCGCTTAGAGTGCAAACTTTCACCAGGGACCTGATTCTCCTTATCGCCATCACACTGGTCTATCTTCGGTTCAATATGACTCATAATAAATTTGACCAATGTCCGACCATGTGTTTTGATATTTATGGCCGCAAACAGCGACGAGACTGGAGTCTCGGCATCCTCATCCGTAACAGGTATAGGAGGGGCACCGGTGGACAACCGCGCACGAAGCACCAACCAGTTGATGAAAGCGCGACAGTAAACAGCTGCCCAGACTTTGCTATCGAGAAAGTCCTTATGACGCATCAAAACAATGTCCAGGCGCGAACTGATCGAACAAAACTATACGAAACAAAAAATCTGATTTTAAGAGGAAGAGGGAGTTCGAACCGAAGAGGTTAAATTCATTCATAAGAGAAAAGCTCACATTGTCATAATGTTCCAAGTAGACTAGTAAAGAATCCGCTACAACACACTGAAGATTTGTGTGCGCAGTTGGTAACCTTACTCGAGTCACCAAGTCTTCGTAGGCGGAAAGCAGAGATGACTTGGACTTGAGTGCAGACTGAATTCGGCCGATTTTATGTGTCAATTCTTTGCGATCGGCAAAGCATGTCTGCTCGGCAATTCTCAGCTTCAAAAACGCTCGGTTCACAAGACCATAAACTTCGTCAATCACCCGTTGTGTGTGACGCGAGAGGACCTCGATAGCTTGCCACGCAGCTGCCTCAGTTGAATGCTACAAATATCAGTGCGTACTAGTGCAACAAAAAGGTTACACGAGAGTTCTAAAGAGTTAAACCTATTATAATGTTTGTGTCATGGACATAAATGTTGTAAAACAAAATTAGTTTCCCTTTAAGCGAACACTACAAATTGCATAGGGCTTCTGTGAAGGAGCAAATATGAGCATAAAATTTGCATCTTGAACTCCCATCACCTTTTAACCACTGACTGGCCTCAAAATTACCTGTGCACAGCTGTACAATACTACCCTGAGTCGTTGGATACGCATCAAATAGTATAGTATTACTATCCGGCTATAAGTTACCTGCAGGAGACCCCAAAGAAGCTCAAATAAGGTTCTGCATCCAGCTACTATTTTACATGCAGTAATCCTTCGTGCGGTTTAAATAGATGGCTACCGCTCCCGAGCGGTGCACTGATATTGCTAATTTTAGATGAAGTTCAAATTTTACCTAGAGACGATCATCAAAATCTGAAAGATATAAGCAAAGGCAAAACAAATCAAATCTGCTTTAACAAAATTCTAATCCCAATTATATCCACCTAACACACCTAAAGAAACCTTCGAGCAAATACCGAATTCTAGGCTATCGCCGCGACAGAGCATCTAAATTATTCTTACCAACTCATAAATGCTAGCGACGGTGGCAACCAGCTCTAATCGGCAAAGAAACTGTCGACCAGAAAGCTTTGAGGAATTCTCATGAGTCACGGACTCAACTGATGGTGGGCATTTTGCAAGGGCTTGGAAGAGAGGACGAGCATTATGGAGAGTAGGAAGTCCAGCGTACACTTCTTCATCAAGCTTATTTTGAGGGGGCACCAAGTGTGATCGTAGAGACGTTGTTATAGTCTCATCGAGAGAGGGAATTAGTCGTCGTATCTGTAATAGCGAAAATCGGTGCGTTGAACAGGTCCTAGCAAACAAGTTGTGGATATTGTACAGTATGTGAGAATCAAAAGGAGGCGAAGAACAACCCATTAGTTTCGCCAACAATTATAAGGCGAGGATGGACAAGTATGAAAATATCACCCAACCACCAACCTGATATGTAGCCTTTTCATATGCATCGAAGAAAAGCTCCAAGCTGTCAAGTGAATGCATTATCAGAAGCTAAAAAGTTATTGAGCCACAGCAAAAGTTAACGAACGCGTCAAGACAACCCAGCGAAAGGTAACCCAACCTCAGAGATCCCGAAACCGGTCACAATAACAACTCAAATAACCGTAACTAGTCGCTCTTCAAACAAATCAATTTAATAAAACAAAAAGCAAAAATAGAATGACGTGATAGTATAAACAAATTTTTTGTAGCAGTTGAGTCAAAACTAAAATATTATGCTTAATCAACCTCTTAGTCACCAAGTCGTTTCTACCCGCATTATAGTGCTGGCAAAGTTAATCAAAGTCAAAATAGTTCCTCTATAAAAACATTTTTATTTTTTTTTTTCAAAATTACTTAAAACTGCCATAAAGTGCCCAATTAACCGCCGTTTGAAAATTGGCAACTTATCGGACTTTTGTGGTGATACCCTGACCCTAGCATTGGGCTTTTAAGTATCATAATTACATTAGACATATTTTGCTTATCTGTTGATACGTAAAATCTAAAATTTTGGATTTAAAATGTAATCGTCTATCCATTGATACTTGTAGTTAAACACATGACTGTATCTGCTTGTTTTTTAATGCAAAAGTCAACTGTTCTCTTTATTTTAAATGTCATGATCTTCATAATGGAAAATGAATATTGTACACAGATTCAGCGTTGGATTCACCATGACTGACAATTTTATTGGTTTCTGTACATAGCCCTACTGTTAAGATGATGGGTATGCTCGGGGCCAATAAGGTAATGGTCGTCGCGTCCGTTCAATCAGTTATGGTTTCCTTGCTTGTAATCACACCACTTTCCAGACTTTTTTGAGGAACCCTTACCCTACCTCTCTACTATTCGTTATTGTTGCTAGTGCAAACAACCAAATTTCCCCATTCGAACGAATTGGGATCCCTCATATCTGGACTCCTTTTTCCACTTATTTGCCTAATATTACAGGTTCTGGCCTTGGTTCATGGGTCTAGGATCGTAAATGTGTCTTCCAGATCGGCTTCATCCGTTGTTTCACCGTCAGTGAAAAAGTACTACCCATACATTGGGAACCGCGAAATTGTTGGATTCGGTCGGAATGGGAATCCTCAGTACTTAGATGATCCACGTTTCCCTTATCCCTCCATTCGTTTTAGAGAAAACGACGATGTGGTGAGGCCTTTTAGCTCCTTATACTTCCTGTAGTTTGAAGCCTTGAGAAAGAAGGAATTGGGCGACTGGAAAAACCTAACCATCGATGAAAAGAAGCTGCTCTATCGTCACAGCTTTCGCATGACTCTGGCCGAGACAATGGCTCCACATCCCCGTTGGAAGCTGAGCGTTGCTTGGGCCTGTTTCTTAATGTCTGCCGCCATGCTTTATCTTTCTTTTGTTAAGTCTGTTGGTAAGTACTTCTATGCAGTGTCTTTTATTGGCACGTAAAATCTTTATTTTTACTATTTTTCTTAGTTCTGAACTTGCCGACAATGAAATACGCTCAGAAGGACTATAAGGAGGCTCTACTCTACAGGCGCTTGTACAGCCGAGATGGTCCAATCGACGGCTTGGTGTCTTCTTTCGACTTCGAAAACATGCGGTGGAAGTAGTGCTTGGAAGGAATGCTGATCATTTGATCGATTCTTACCTTTTTTTTCCCAGGTTGACATCTGGATATTTCATCTTGGAAGTTCTCAACCATTAAATTTAGTTGTTCACCTCGATAAACGGTGTTCTTTCTGTGACAATGTATTAATGTTTTACTAAATTATTAACGATTTGCGATTTACTAGTTTTCCCGAGGTTCGATAATTTTGGCGGCTTCTCACCGTCCATTTGCGACACAGGCTGAGACAAAAATAAAGGCACTGTTGAAAACTCGTTTCCCAAAGGCGGTGACTATTGAGGTCACCGACGTCAGCGGTAAGTTCCCAATTTTGGTGAGTAAACCCGTGCTTTGTCGAGGTGGATGTGGGGCGATGTATCAGATATTCGTAAAGTCGCAGGAGTTTTCCGGCATGTCGGTTCTAGACCAACATCGGTCTGTGAAGGAGGTTTGAGGTTTTTCATCTCACTTTTTGTCTTAGACTTTAAAACAAGAAATCAAGTCAATGCATGGCCTTACTATTGTGACGGAGGAGTAAAAAGGCACCCAGACCATCAGTAGTTCACTTTTTAATAAAGTGCTTTAGCATCTCCGTCATATTATTTTTAATTATCCTTAGTTCTGCCTGTCATAACTCTCTGTGACGTCGTTGCCATTCGAAGCATTGGTAAGCCTTTAAAGGGTATGAATGTGATTTAAATAGGAGTAATAAAAAAGTAACCAACTCACAAATGTGGCAAGACATTAGGGTCTAGTTTTCCTAGAAGGCACTATAGTCGCCTGACGCGTTGGGACGGTGGCTTTTGTTTGTCAGATTGAATTTATCGCCGTGCCTGAGCAAGCGAGCTCGGAGTTTCATATTATCCTTCTCCAGCGTCGTTGATCGTCTCTTTAGCGTTTCGACCTTGATGGGAAACGTGAAGTGTGAATGGTAAGCTCCATTTGCGGCTTGTCTCTCGTGTCAGATGTTTCATCGTTTCGTTTTCTGCTAGAGGTGCCTTTCGATCATCAAAGATAATCGGAGATGTGTTATTTAGTAGTATTGCTTGCATGAAATGTAGGAACATTCTATGGGTTAAATGCCAACGAAGGCTACTCTTAGGATTACACTCGGATTGCCAAACGTCACATCCCGGTGCTTCGTGTGATTTCCGTCGTAGGCACTAAACAAGAGTGAAGTCGCTGCCTCGCGTTCTTATGGGGTTGAGTTCTTTAATTTGAGAAATCTTACACGCCACGAAGGCAGCTAGGGGATCTCCTCCTGCGATCACTGTCTGCAATCAAAAAGCGTCTGGCCAATCAAAGCACAGGGCAGATGTGAATGCATATCGTCGCCAGGGCGGCTCCTTCTATGGATTTGCGTTGAAGACAAACAGTTTCCTGGCGTATTTATGTTCTTAATCGAATGGAGGGCGTGAGGGTGTAAGTGACTGCAAAACTCAGTCTTCGGCTACGCACGTCGCGCGCCAATTCAGTTCGCAGTCGTTTCTGTGCTTATTGCTGAGTAACCTTCAGAGTATGGGGTGCCTTGCTTGACGTGCATATCTAGATTGTTCTGGCTGCCAACTTTGAAACAGGGCAACGGCATACTAAGGTTAAACTAGTTGGAACAGTTATCACCAATATGCCAGTTCAAGTTGCGTTTTAACGCGTGGATTTATATGGTATTTTAAGGTGATACAGGCATGCATGTTCAAGTCTCTTCTTCCGTTATTGAAAGCATCTGCATGCGCACCGACCCTGCGATGTAAGGTTCATAATGGCATTAACTATTTATTAATAAGCTCCTTTACAGCACGTTTACATTTCCGTATGGTATTTGCTTACACAATTCCACCATGTATAGAGTGAGAATGTTGAAACTTGCGCTGATATATGTTGCAGAGCAAGGGAATCCTCCCAAAAAATACTTGTTTTCAAGTCGTCTGCACTTCCTATATTTCTTTACATTTGTAATCAATTAAATAAATCACACGCTTTACCACAAAGCCTCCTAACTGCAAGCGTGACACTTCAGTAGTTTTAAAAGGTGGAAGGAAGCAGCCTAACTCAGTCCTTTTAATAATAAAGCTCGCTAGTTAAAGTTGTTATGCTAGATTTGCGTAACTCACAGTGGCGTGAAGAGCCCTGATGGTCTCCTCCAGCTGGCACCGAATCCCCATCGTGAGCACGCCTTCATCCACATCTCCCAAGAGGTTATCCTTGATCTGCGTCCTCCACCTATTTTCCAAGTCACCACAGAGTCCTAATTCCTCTCTCAGTCTGCACATTCGCTGGTCCTCCTCCTGGATCAGCTTGAACAACTCCTGCATCAAGAACGCACGTAACTACAAGACCATGGTATTTTGGTGCCTCGGTGGGGGGAGGCTGACAGAGCGCAACCTCTTGATCCTCAAGCAATTTTTGCAACGAAGTGAGCATCCAACCAGAAATAAATGCATTTTAGGACTTTGCTTGACGGTACTAATTGAACTCCCAACGGATAGAATTTTTGAACCGTATTTAATTTCATACCAAACTACAATTAGCCGAATGGTTTGCTAAGTCTCCAAGTAGATACTCTCTTGCACTATCTTAGGTGGACGATATGTACAAATTTTCGTTACCTTTGTTGAATTTTGACAATTTTCTCTAAATTGGCGCAGAACATCTTCATGCTTGTTTTGCATCTGAGTGGCAGTCTGTTTGATTAAATCCTGCTGGGCTTCCGTATTCATTTTTACTGTTTTTAGGTCCTCCACTATCTAAAGTGGAAAAGTGTGATCTTAATTAACTAGTATTTACACCTAAAACAGGCAGTCTCTTCCCAGGATGGATCACTTTTTAGTATATTTCATGGGTTATTTAAGGAAAGTAAATTTGTAATGTTTTTCTTTAAGCGGATTCACCGATACCATCTGTATACTAACAAGGAAATTAATGCACGTTGTATCTCAGAGTGGTCCGCAAAATTAGATCAACTATTTAGGAAGTTTTTGGTGTCGCCAATGAAGTGTGAATGCTTATGCTTAATGCACAAAAAGTCACCTGTGCAAAGTCCTTGAATTGGGCGTTAAATTTCTCCACTTCACGCTCCTCACCCACTTGTCGCTCGAGATATACAATTCTCTCCCTGAAGTCGCGCTCCATTGTCGCCATTTCATCACGCAATCGTCTCGTCTCCTCCGAGTGTGCCAAGTTCACTCTCTTCATTTCGTTCTCAAGATCAGTATTCGTGGTCTGTTGAAACAAGATAAACGCTAGTTCCAAAGTGGATTCACTGCAGAAAGAAAACTATTTTATCACTATTGTAGTGCACGTCTTCTATCACTGCGTAACTTTATATTATTCTGCATGGAAATAAAGGTCAGGATGCTCGAAGTGACTGAGAATAGGCTTAGGAGACATTGCAGATAATTAAGATATGTATGAATATAAATGATCAGGCTTGAACACACTTTTTATTTCAAGGCTTGTTTAGGTAATGCGGTGGTAACCTCTAGACCCGTCCGTACCAAAAAGGAATTCCAGGAGTTATTAACAATAAAATGCATTTCCTTTTCAAAACGACGCGTTCTGTGGGTATGAATCGGAAAACTCCAACACACTTAAAACCCTATATTGGGACTTTTTTATGGTATTTCGTACCTAGTAGAAAGTTTGCGAAATTCAAATTAAGTAAGGATTGTAACACCATTGATTTCTTCATAACCAAGAGAACTCAAGTTTATTTCAAACTCAAAATACAATACCCTGAGAGATTTCACCTCAACCGTCAAGTCGTCAATCACTACTGACTGATTTTCCAGCAAGGTCTTCTCGAATATGCCATCCTTTGCCTTTTCCCTAGCTAGCTGCAACTGCAGTTTTAAATATGGTAGGTAAAAAGTGTAGTCATGTATGATGATGTGCTTTATGGCTCAAAAGTAACATACTGACAAATTGTGCGATGAGTAAACCAACTATAGCTCATGCTCTTATTGTTTTCGTACGTAAATAAACATTGACAGGAAAAGCGTTAGACTCGTGGAAAGCTATCAAATAACTTACCTCTGTTTTGAGATTCTCTATCTGTGTTGACTTAAGCCTAATCTTTTCATTGTACTCATGTTTTACTTCTTCTATGAAATGCTCCTGTTCATCCCTCAGACAGTCCAAATCTTTTATGAACTTAGCCAATTGTTGTTCCACGTTTTCGCGCATGGAATGCAGCCTTAAGGGGTCCAAAAGAGAAAATGAGTTACACAAAGTAGTTCCGAAATAGAATTTGCGTGTAGTGATATCAGACGAACTGGAGTTTCTACGTCTGCAGTGGTAGATGAAGTTAGATTTCGCTTAAAAATTCTCATTTATATGCAAGTAAGCCCTTATACTTAATTAAACGGGGGTGGTTAATGCATCAAACTTAAGATTGATGTCACACGTGTGATATACTTAAAGAATAGCTCTTCCGTTTCGGTTTACAAGTAAGGAGGGTATCAGCATTACTTATGCAAATTAGAATTTGATTTGCTCCTCAAATACTTGCCTAGTCTTCTCAGCTTTGACAGCATCATGCATTTTTGATAAACTATTGAGTAGTTCTCTTCTTTTTTCGGTCAAACTGCAGTTTTTATCCACAGTGTGACTCAGTTCTTTTTCAAGAACACGGCATCTGTCTAGGAGCTCCAATTTTCTTATTTTCTGCAAAACAATATAGCATTACGAAACCAACAATAAAGATGTCACTCGACATCAATCGACTCAATGCGACCTGATGTTCGTATTCGATTCAAAGTGTTGCTCACCAACAATTCCACTTCATTTTCTTTATCCAAAAAGCTAACTTAACAGCTAAAATCACCTGTGTCCGGAAAATCCGTATTTATATAACTACTCACAACTCTCTAAAAGTAAAAGACAGTTTCCCATCTAATTAAAATGCTTATTAAATATCACGATCATGTGGGGTTTTGGGGTGATCTGACAACATTTTGTATGTAAATTTGCCAGAATAACAATATTACTAAGTAAAGATGACTGGTTAGGCTTCAGTAGGAGTAACAGTTTAAAATACTTAACATTTTAAGGACTTCACTCTAGTTAAGAAGTTATTAGGGGAACGTGCCTACATCAGGGATCGAATTCGCATTCTTCGCATTTGCTGATTTTTTAGTCAAGTGTTTAGGTTTCCTTTCAGCAGATAAACGATGTACGAACCCTCCTTCTAAGGATTTGCCACCCGTAGAGCCGGGGGAAAGTCGTCGGTCCGGCGCATGACTTCCAGTGTATTCACACTGGTGCTCTGATTTAGGCCTTGAATCCAGTTCACGTTCAAGATACGTTGCAAGTTCACTTAATTTTTTCTATATTGTCGGCCATAAAACACCATTTTTAAGCGAACAGAGAAACATATATGTATATACCCGATGGGTCGAAGCGAGCTCATGTGGGGTCAGTGACTATTTCAAAACGTGAAAAATTACTAGAAATTGTTTTTTTGACTTCTGTCTATAATGTGAACACAAGTGCAGTAAACGGATGACCCAAATGTCATAAAGAATTTCCTACTTTTCTTTATTAGATAGTTGGCTACCTTTCATGCCATTAAAATATTCGTGTAAGCTGGGTGGCAATATCCAGTGTAGGTTTTGAGATGCCATAAGTTACGGTCCCACAACATATTCTCAGTCCTTTATCGCTTGCAGCAAAATGCAAAGATTTCAAACAGTCACTTTTTCGTCATTCAATCAATTACGCATCCCCCGCTAATTTATGTTAGAAATCTGTGAAAAGGCTTCATCAGAAGATCTTCTAATTGCACACCAAATCCGCATAATTTCAATGAATCGCTTAACTAACTTGTAATGACATGTCGCGCAGAAGTTACTTAAATTGCGCTGTGGCGGATTATACACCCTGTGCCTTCATCAGCGTCACGATGAATACTTGTCTTGTAAGGTACCTCTATTATTTATTTAGTTTACCACGTGTTTTTTAAGAGAGAACTACTTTGAAATTTGTTTATTAGAAGCAATAATACAATCGCTGCTTAAAAATTTCATTGAGTAATCTCATAACAGATTGGTACCTGCCCGGTTAACGGCATATTTAGATTCCCTAATGTGATGCTAAAATCTGAACTCTTTTCCTCACGGTAAGGATGATTTTGAGATACTAGAAGTGCTACAGTGAGCGAAAAACTTGGTGTAGAGGCTGTTTTTCCGCACTACTCCCCAAATGCTTTGTCTTTAACGATGTATCTAAAATTAATTTCCCTTAAGTAAAAGTTTGTAACTAGATTCCAAGTATCTGTGCCTAATACACGTACAAAATGAGTCGAAAATAAGCTAGAAGTTACACCAATTATGCATTATTGCTTCTTCAGATCTGGTTTTCCTCGTTGTATTATTCCAACAGTCTTGATTTAGAATTTGCAGCATACTATTTTAGATTTTAGGGCGTTTTCTCGAAATATTTTAAATGGGTTTACTGAAGCAAAATTTCGAGCAATTTATCCTTCCTTAACAATTTTTTCTACTTAATGAATTATGATAATTTACCCCTTTCCCATTTTCTGCTTTCACATGTCACTCATGAGGTAGTTGGCGTCTGTTTCTAATCAGCTCAGTCGCTACGTCTTAGACATTAAGAAAATGATGTCAGATGTGCTCCGTTTGTTTCCTAGTATTACTAATTGTACCTTGATAAACTCGGTATTTCTCTCTTTCATCCCTATCTGCATGTCCTTAGAACGAATACACGGGCTGGATGTAGACATGCGTCATAGCAACCATTAAAGGGATACAGATATTGTAGGGTGAGAGTGTTCAGAGTACGTTTCCTCCTTAGGAACTGGTGGCATCCCTTCTGTTACGAAGTCCGAGTTTAAATAAGCACGTATCAGAGTATTTGGGTTAGCATTACTCCTTTATCCACTTTGGAGCTTTTAGAGTTCGTGCCATTTCTGGCGATCTCACTAGTTCGCGTCCAATTACTAGCATATATACTCCCTCCAAAGCTCACCGTAGACAACCTAAAAAGACTCTTTGAACATAAATAAGTTAAAAACTACACAGCTCTCCTCACTTTTTAGTAAGTAAGTAACTTTTCTTTTTCAGCATTAGTTTTGCTTTTAAGACTACTTTAAAACAGTGATACAATGAAATGTATCAGATTTATACGTTTATTTTTCGTATCAAGAATTTCCACGCTTGCTTTTAATGTCTTTGCACCTGACCCTATTTTAACCTAGCTTAAATATAATTGGTTAAAAATACCCGCGCTGCAATTGGGCAACTGAGGTTGCCTTCAACGTTTTATATAAGGGCTAGTCACATTGGGGTTATTGTCTGCTCTATTTTATCCAGATGCCTATTTTACAAAATATCAAGTCATGCGTACGCCGGAAACATGGAGTTACAAGGAGGCCCACGAAAGTCCACTTTAATGTAAAAATTGTTGACGCCTTCAAATCTGCGAACGTTGCTTCTCAACTAAGGGTACTTTATGACTTTTGCGTATGGTAATCTTCAGGACCTTCTTGTGTATATCGCTCGTGAGGGAGTTGCCGTTACCGACCTGTTCAGACGCCCAGGAAATATTCAGTCTATCAAAAAGATAGTGTCGGATTTGGAGTCGGGACGACCGATCAACTGGACGGATTACAACTTTTATACGCTTGCAAACATAGCAAAACGTTTTCTACTTCATATTGAAGGGGGTATACTTGGCGAAGAAGCTGAAGAGGCCTTAATAGAAGCGTTGGACATTCCCGATATTGACGCCCGCAATGCTCAAATGAAGTCGTAAGTTAACCTTTGATCCCTTGAACGGTGTAGTTTTGTATACCGGTTGTTGATCAATTTTGTACTCTCTATTAGGTGGCAAATTTGCTGTGTTTTTCTTATTAAACCATTTTTTATTTAGCATTATCACTTCGCAGCCAAAAATGGTTCAGCAGCTGCTAACTTTGCTTTTTGGAACGTGGTTTCGTATGATTTATCACACCGATGTTAATGCAATGTCTGTTGAAGCTGTAGCAAAGTCCGTAGCTGGGTCTATTTTCCCTAGCTGTACACATTCGCCTGAAAAGGTATGTTACGTACTCTTTCCTTTGGCTCATAATATTCAATGTCCTCGTTTTATAATCAACCAATTTTTCCCCTGTTATGGTTTGTCCTCTTTTGCAATTGTGTTATACCCCCTTAAGAACAGTTTAAGATGGAAATTGAGTCTTCGAATGTTGAGTTTTACTTCAGTAAGCACAAACTTCATACGCTCGTCTTGGTTCTGCCTGAGCGGTCAACTGTTGACTGACTTTCCAATCCTCGATTAATTGTCTTTGCGTAGTATATAATCGGTATGGCTTTATTTGTCCTATCCAGTCGTTTTTTTTTTGCTGCTTAGGTTGAAAAGGCATCAAAAGTCATGGAGGTTCTTATTGTGGGCTTTGCCTCAACGGAACTCTTTGGACGCGAGTTAATTGAATACTTCACCCGCGAGACCAACACGAGCATTTCACGGGTGGAAAAGTTCAAGTACGAGTTTCGATTTCCAAAGAACATCCCAAGTAAGTTACTGGAAATCTAGTTGATTTAATCGGGTCACTTCATACCCTTTACGACGCAGAGTAGACGTATTAATTGTTCCAGAACTGGCCTTAGTCACTTTCTTAATTCAAATAAAGAGAATGTCACGAAATTGATCCTCGTTGATTGATATGCATCCTTTCCCACCCTGACAGAGCCGCGCTCCACTCAGATGTTTCGCCAAGTGCTGATCGAGGAGAGCAAAAAGCACGGCTTCGACATCCTAAAAGACGGTGCGTTCCCATTCCATCTTCACTGTTACCGACCTCCCTGCCCTTCAGACTGCAAATATCTTTATTATTTTACGAGCACGGAAACTAGTCTGTTTAGTGAGCGATGGGCTGTCCTAGCAAATTTCCTCTTCGAAATAAGTGTGCATTTGTGCTGCGGTTAAGTATCTGGAAGCAATTGTGTCTTGATGTCTCCCACGCCTACTTTGAAGGCGATCACAGCCCCCACCAACGTTAATCAAGTTGACTCTTTGTGTCATTGCAGAACACTCTCGTTTATCGATCGATGAGTTGATTGATCGTGTCACTAATTAGGTCACTCGGTTTCCCCCCTCCCGCCCCCGCTCCGAGGTGATGCATTCGATCAAATTGTGACGAATAGGGAAATTTGTTTCATAGAGGAGACCTTTGCGTTCAAACGCCAATCTTCCTGGACTATGTTCATATTTTCTATTATTGCTAACCTTGATTGCCTGGGAGGAAAACAGAGGAAACAAACCACAAGAAAAGGCAGGCAATTCGTAAATAACTGTTTAGTTTTACGGTAATATGTGCCATTGCATGCTAATTAGCCTTTAGTAATCGCTTTGGTCTATTAAATATCCTATTAATGACAATTTTGGAATGCTCTAGTCCCCCTCATGAGAACGGGAGCGTATACCATTTCGTTTGCGATGTGGGTAGACTTCCGGATCTGTTTACTTTATCGGCGTCGGATACTCTAACTTCCAAGTCTCTGAAAAGATATGTCACCAATATGCATTTCTCCATTGTCCACTGGTGCCTCCCATCCCAACAGCTACCCCTTTCACTTTGTCTTGGCGTTACCCTCAATCACTGAGTTCCTGTGTTAAGCATTTGCGCATTTCCTTCAAAGGCCAGACTAACAATAACGTTGAGCCTACCTTACTGCCTTCACCTGGAAAGTCCCTGATCATGTAACAGTGGATTTGCGCCGTTCTGAACAGTCCCCCCCCCCCCCACCCTCCTTAAGCTTCAAACCTCTGTGTGACAGGCGCATTTTAGTATTTTGTCCACATAAGTAGCGTGCTTGACCTAGGCGCGTAATCAGTGTACCAAATTCCCCTCAATGCACAGTGAGGGACATCCTCATTTCCGCACTGACTTGAAGGCTCTCGATGAATCCATGCTTCTCCACTGCCTTTAGGAAAGACCTTCAATAACAAGAGCTTTGTGGAAAATGGGAAAAATGTAGCGTCCATAATCTTTTCACAACTTGACTGATATTCCACGCGTTAACAATAGCAATAGATATCCACACAAAGGTTGTGGGTAATTCTACTTACGAGGAGCTGCTCACACCAAAAATGTGTGTACCCTCGCCAGACCGTCGGTATTTCGTACAGGCACCTTGTTTTAGTTTATTGAGACTAATCAAGCTCAGAGCTGAGAAACGTGTTTCCATTGTGGTTGCGATTTCTGCGTGGCTAATGGCGTGGCCAGGCCACGCCTATCCGCCGCCTGCTCTGTTCTGCCAAACCACTTTTGTTGCAGTATCCAAGGCTTTCTGCGTCACTTTCTCTGACACGGCAGAACGAGCAGTTGTTTTCACTCACCTTTTCACGATGCAGGAGGCCGAATTTTTTTTCCAAAAAATCTCATTGCACCTCTGTATAGCACATGAATTTGGCCCCTCTACGGCCTTAACTCATGAATGCTAGTTTTATTTATAGCAGCAATTTATTTAAGTTTACTTCTTGTGTGATAAAACTCTTCCCTCACCGTTTGTGTCCTACACTTTCCGCCTTGAAGGTGGATTCGCGCATGAATTAGCAGCAAACGTTGTGTCGCCCCACGGTCCTGTTTTACAAAAGCATGTCTAAACCTGTGAGGTGGTTACGCTCATGGGTCAATCAAGGTGATGAGAGGGCCAGTATCCTTTTTGGCCTAAGCTTAAACATGATTTTTTTATCGCAAAGTTATACTTCTGTATAAGGTGGATTTCTTTGTTTACTGTTACAAGAACTATTCCCGTTTAAGTGTTCCAGTGTCATCTAGCAGACAGATGTGCTGACCTCAGGGTCGAATCGCAACTGTTGCAAGTAGGAAAACTGTCACTCTCGTGTGATCAACGTATGAAGATGGCTAGGTTGTTGATCAACGAAATTGAGTGGATGTGTTGGTTTCTATGGGAGGTACATGTGAGGCTGACTGGGTGGCCTAGTTTAAACTGGTGTGTTTTCCCAGCCCGCTCTTAAGGATAAATCCCCCAATGGGTCTATAAATAAACACTACTTTCGTGACTGGATAGGATAATTCCCTTAACTGCCCAAAATGAACGTGAAAAAAGGCCCTCTTTGTTTCTGCCTTGTGCGTAGCAATAAAATTGCGTGCTCGTGCATAGCCAACTGCAACGTTAAGGTGTAAACTTGTGTCTTAGTTACTCAGACTTACAGATTGTGTATACTACGGAAGTGCGGTAGAGATTCGTCAAGGTGTTGGACGTCCTATTAACACTCAATGCTGGCATTCTTCGGTCGAGCCATGTCATTTTCAAACTGTCAAGGCATATTGAAAGTGATGTCTTTGGTGTCGTGGCGTCTTCCATTTCTTAGACTTGAAATTTTACACGTAGCAGTGCCTCAAATGCTATTTTAATCACCTTGACTTCTCCCAACCTGTATAAATGTGACAATGGAGAGTAATCTTTGCTATCGAATTCGAGAGCTTACATGCCCAGGCACTTAAGTGGTCGAGGTCTCGCACAGTGTTTCATCTGTATGCACACGCAGAAGTCACGAAGGAGGAGTTCGAGTGCGCTAACCAGCCGATGGCCTTGGACTGGTCCGAACTTCAGGTCTGCCCCACCAGTGCGAACAAAGACTGTGGCGGTGGTGGTGGTGATACCCTGGGCCGGACCACAGATTCGGTGTTCATTCCTTCTCGGACACATAGTTTACGGGTTCCGTTGGCGACTCTGCAACCCACCACTCAGTCCACTCCTGTGCAGTGCCCATTGCCACCCCCACCCCACCACCTCATCGGCGAAAATGGTGTCCGTAAGTCCATCTCTTTACCCCTGCCACGCCAATAACGCTATACCGTGACGAGTCAACACTCAAAAACACCCCTGTGTGTCTGAGTCATCTTCCCCTTACAGTTTCATGTTGGCTGCTGTCGGAGGCGTCACAGGTAGTCATTTCATTGCCACACTCAGAATGTAGACTGCTTAACCGATACCTTTCTTCTGTAATGCGAGTTCACTGTGAGACTCATCCGGGCCATTTGAAAGTTGTCCCAGACTGTAAAATGTAAATAATCTAAACTGTTATTAGGAATGGGTATTTGGCCCTTCGAACATAAGTACTCCTGTCCTCCTACTGTCTGCACCAGGCTGTCTTTGTGGGAAGCATTATTTTTTGATTTGTCCGCACTCCATAACAGTAACGTAATCCTGAGTACAGAGCAGGAAAGTGTATCCATCCAGAACAGTTACGATTCCATGGGATATGTGGTGCTCAGCTTGCCCCAGGATCGCATTGGTAGTGCATTCTTCCTCACAGCATACGTACCACTGTTTGGGTATGAGGTGCCAGCAGCTGCTTCACACCGGCTCCTCCGGTCATATTTCAAGGGATAATGTATATTTGTGTATTTACTTATGCATCGCTCTTTGACTACTGCTTGCTTGGCCAGTTGCCGTGTCCTCTAGGTTGGTGGAGGAAATGGGTGTGGAGGGGGGGAGTATTTGAAGGTCCAGAAAAATTGGGCCTAGTGACCGTTCAGTTTGTCCTCCAAGCGTTCCATTTAGGCTCTAAAAAGCTGTATACAGAGTTTAAGGCGATGCCGTGGCCCACTCCTGTGATAAACACGTGTGCAGCCCCTATCTTGTCTTCGTATCCTCCGATAATCGTTTTGATTCCTTTTAGGCAGAGGTTGTGAGAACGGAAAATTAGTGATGGTTGTATAATATATGCATAGTCCTACTGCTTTCCTACGCACTGCCATTACCTTTCTTGTAAGCATCGGAATCTCGTGTTTATTCGAGTTGCAAAGCACTGTCCGAGCTCTGAACGTTTACTCTTGATTGATCCAATTTCACGGCACTCATTTTTAGATCAGCATTTGGAAAATCTTGTCACTAATGAGCTGGTACTTTCCTCACCGTTTTACCACCAACAAATGATCGTTTTCACTGTCGATTTTGGTGGATGCCGCATTCTCAACTTCGTAAGGGTGGCAATAACCGCTTGGTTGCAGGCATAATTAATATAATTTGGACACTCTGGTAGTGGTCGTCATGTGCAGCCATTTAGATGGATGCAATTAGACGGCCGAATGCGATTGGAGCCGTTCACAAGCCAACTGCACTCCTGAGCTTATGTTTATTCAACTCATTTTCGTTATGTCGCCTGTCGATCGGATTTCGCGTCCTTGTTGTTATTTTGTAAACACTTTATTCTCATATTCATCCCCGAAGGCCACTGGCTCCTTCGTCATTGTCATAAACGATCACCTGTGGTTCACGCATCCATGATTCACAAGTTGAGGTGGAGCCTTGAGTGCATGTGTTTATGAAAGTCGGTAAATTGTGTGCACTACTTCCCATCTTCGGCATTACCAGTCGAAGGTGTTTATCATTTGTCACACTGCATTATGAATGAGCGAGTTCCCAGAGCACTCCTTCGCTATCGTTACTTGCGTCTATTATTTGTTTGGCCTATTCCGGTGTTCGTTCTAGTTCGAAAGTGCTGAACTTTTGCTACTTGCAATGCCAAACACTGTCTGCATGTGGTTTAGTAGCCGTCCACTACAGATGGTTGTTCATATCATGAGTAGTGCCACTGTTTGGACAAGCGAACGAATGACGAAACCATTGCATTTTTCACCGCGCAACGTCGGGATGCATTACTACGACCTGACAGGAGTGGAATCCAAGCCTCGAGACCATGTGTTTCCTACCCGTGACCAGTGTTATTCATGCGACGCTGTCCATTCGGCTTCCTCGTGTTCCTCCCAAACGCTTAAACCTTGGCTGTTCTTTCTCGCATAGTTGGAGACCGATCTATCGGTTCAGTCTTAGCCCATGAAAAACTGGTCATCTCATATTTCACTATCAAATTTCGACCATCCTGGATGAGCGTACTTGGTCATCTTCGGGACGCCAAAAGTTTAGAACTGTTGTAGTCTACATTATGCCTTGTATTTTTACCTCTGGACAGGCGTAAAAGCTACGAGGCGACCTATGTACCCTTGCATTAGACTGCAACGCTGCAGCCAAGTTAAATGTTTAGCAAGGTGCTAGAATGATTTACGAGTTTTGCCTGTAAGTTTTAGCGCTTTCGCGAACGACACGGTTGTTTGTTTGTAAGATTTTGATTTGGCTTTTTGGGAGGCGACCCGTATCCGCAAGCAATCCTTTTATTTTCATTAACCGTATAAAGTGATGATCATGGAACGGCTCAGCCATCGCTTCTTAGATTGTTTTTGTCACCTTATTTCACCACAGCAGTTGTTGGTTGAGCTGTGCCATTCCCTATGTCTGTAAGAGAACCTTTTTCACAAACTCATTTGCTGCTCACTCCGTCGCCATTATCGTCGCGAAAGACCTCATTTCCAAGCTTCCTCAGTCCTAAAAACCATTTCAAAATATCCTACCTCTATAACGAGAATACCCACATTAGATATGCATTATACTGGAGTTCTCACATTGTGATGCACCTCTACGAGGTTTAGAGTTATCAGGATTTCCTACACAAACGATACTTTGTGATGTAAGGAATTGTTTAGTTCCAAGCCAAACTTGGCGTAGGTATGTGGGTATTGCTAGTGTAATTCAGTTGAGCCGGCACCCAGTATGTAGCTTGGGCCCTTAGTCACCTTTGAGATCGTAATGAGACTCATCAATGTGGCATACGCTGTCGATACAAGGAAGGGATGTAGGGCTAAAAGCCTGGGCAGACCGCCCTAGCACCGAGAATGGAGAAACTGTGCGATGGTTTTGTGATTTGAACACAGATCTTTTTAATAAAGCAATCTCGTCTTGTGAAGCAGAGAATGGAAGGCTGGACTATCTGGGCCACCACCATGACCACATCGACCAGGTCCAACAATACTCCGAGAAGCGTACCTGCATCACCGCCGCTCCCGCCGGCGCTACCGATGTGCATTTGCGCCGACGCGACAGCAGTGGAATGGCGAAGAGTCTTCAGGGTGCTAGCCAAAGCATATCCGATACCCTTGGACGCAAGTACGACTCTCTCTCCGAAATGGATGACCTCTCTCGTGTATGTCCGCCTATTTTTCCCTATCTTAGCTTAATCACTCCCTCTTTGACGGTTCTAAGCTCTTTTTAAAGTCGTCCGTGTTTCAAGTTTCCTTGTCGCAACCAACCTCAGCATCGGAGGTATGGAACGGCTTACTTCCCGTCCTTTGACTCACAGTTTGGTATTTGAGTTTCAATGTGAATTTTAGTGCCTCCTAATTTGTTTCTCTGTGCCTTGAACTTATTCAACTTCTGATGTGTCTCTCTGTGTGACTATTATCACGTCTAACGTCAACGGTACCTCATTTCCATTCATTTGCTCACTTTACTTTCGCCTCCGCTTACTTTCGTTCCTACTCTCCCTTGAACCTCTCCTGATTGCTTCTAAGCGATGCTTGGATGTGTGTTTACAAACATAACAGGTTTTTGCTCTTCACACCCAGTCTGTCTCCGCCGTGCCCATAGCTTTGCGTGATTGATAAGCCATGGGCGATGTGCCAACAGACAATGATGAGGCCAAATGTGATTTATCACCCTCTGCGTTTTCATCCCAACTCCCTAACTTATCTCCTCGATGTTGAACAGGCCTCACGTAAACTCACCAAGTTGATTTGACGCATTTTTAGGATGAAAGGGAATCGGAGTTTGCCTTTCAAATGCTCCCTTCCCCCTCCACTGCAAGGTCAGTTGGTTTTGTGCCAATTTTGTTATTAAACACCGCGTCTGGGCCACCCTTGCGTTGCATTTAGGCTGATGGGCGTGGTTTGTTTGCATTTCAGCTAGCCATGGCCAAATACATCCGACCTGTAATCTACTCCATCGATTTAACTAACTTTCAATTGAATTTCAAAAATCCAAGATTTCATGGCTGAGATGAAAGTGTTATTCCTTCGATAAGCATTAGTGAATGTTTAATTGTGCTTATCCTTATGTGGTTTTGTTTATTTAACAATGGGGCTGACTTTGTTTACGGTTCTGTCTCCATGTCATAGAAGGGTTGATACAATAGTTCGGTATCCCAGGGACCGAAAACGTCGTTGTCTGTTTATATTTCCTGTTGTCGATCCACTCACTCGCCATATGGTATGAATGGGGTGACAGGACATCTCTCGCCCTCTCTTTCCCTCTCTCCACGAGTTCGCCCCATCCTTCTGCCTGCTGGTCAATTTTATCCCTCTGTCACTCCTTGTGCTTGGACGTTGCGCTGCTCTTCATCGGGGAGAAGGCGGATGCTGGTTAGCTCTTTGTAGAAGTCGGGGGTTCTTGCTCCATGAGGGACCACAACTCGTAAATTAGACAGCTTGCATTTAGGTTGAAAATTGTACATCAGTTGTCGCGATTACACTTGCATTGACGTCACGCCAAGCATCGATGGACACATCAAACGTGGCATTATCTGAGCATAGTTATCAATGCCCAGATCCGCATCTCCACGCGTGAGGTTTTATTGCTTTAGGTGTCGAAGGCCATGCCAATCTGGCACAAATTAGCAGCATGGTAAATGAGCTGATAACGCTGCGTTGGGGATAGGTTAGGGCGTTTTGGATGGCGGCTTCGTTTGGAATATCCTGTTTGATTCATGGGTGCAAAACTGTGCCCTACTTTCCACGTCCACATTAGGTCCGTAGCACTATGAAATCCAAAATTTGGTGTTGTTTTCGTCTTCATTATCGTGTGTACTTCCATGTGTAGGATGTTAGTCATGTTAGTACCCCTAGACCTTTATGTCCATTAAGTGGTTGTAAGCAGGGCGTCTCTGCGTGCAAAGGGCATTCAGAGTGCGTCTGTCATTTTGTTTTGAACGTAATGCGCCTTTGCCTCCCAGGGTTTGTCCTTTCTGAAAATCCTAATCCTGTTTCATCCGGTTCATTAGATTATCATCTGCCACTTCTGATTAGTCTTCGTCCATCACAACAGGCAAACTAATCGTAGTGTGCTCTTGAGGAGGTACTACCCTTTCATTTTCTACGAATTTGCATCCTCGCTTTGAAACTATTATAGTTTTGAAATGACAATATCATCCTGATATAATTGGTACAATGTAAAAATAGCGCTGCAGAAATGTCTCAAGCAGGAGGGGCAATTGTTCAGTCCGTTTACTTTCGATCTTTCACCAAGTGACACTACTCGTTTGTTTATAATTAAAATGTGATTCTACCACTAGAGATCTTTGACGTACCACTGAAGATGTTCATAATTTACAGTCCCGTCTTCATTCCACTGCAACAATCAATCCCTGAATTAGACTTAATAGAGAACGGCACAGACTTCATGAGGTTGTATTTCGGTGCTACTCACACCGGTTGAATACGGTTAAGCTTGACGGTGGGAACCGATTCTGTGTACGCATGTTCGAATTTGCACCATCTTGAGTTGTTTTATTTGCAGTCCAAAGACCCCGTAACTGCTTTTGTCTTTTCAGTTCAATGGCGCCGGTGCGGCAGCGGCCTACGGCTCGTGTTTCAATACCGTGAAGAAGCGGCAGCTGGAACGACTACAGAAGCGCTCTGATTGGTTCCTCAGTCCTCCAGCGGGTCTTCGCAACTCCGGCATGATGCGTGTCGATCTGCCTCCCGCTTCCGGTGCGTCCACCTCTCCTTCCACTTGTCTTCTCTTTACCCATGTGCTTTCTGTTCAAGTTGGCCTGTCTAGTGGGTCAAATCTGAGCCAACGTTCTGTAGGATTCATCGTGTTCGGTTGAGAGGCTTTGACCTCTGATCCCTCTGGTTTATTTGCACTGCTCAAAAGCTGTAATAGCCCTCGTCTGGCATTGCTCGACTCAGCGAAGCTCGCCTGCGCTACCTGTTACCGTGGCAAAGCCATTTTAATTTTTGTCTGATATGCAAAACAAAAAGTACATCAATGGTTCTCGTTACGCGGCAGTACGCGTTCTAATTTATAATGCAAAATAAGCATATTTTCAACGCACTCCGTATCGCATTCATTACGCATGATTTTTAAATAAAAAGTACCAATGGTTTGGTGCCTGACTTCGCGATGGGGGCAATGTGTAAGAATGACTGAATCCCAGACCACTGGGTATGCAATCTATCGCCGGTTCCTCCGCCATATCTTTTTTCTTGTCCTTTATTGCATTGTACTGCCCTTGAGTAACTCGGTAGCATCACGCAAACAAGTAAACTGTACTGTCTTCAAACATACCTTTTATGCTGTTGTTGCCGTTCGCTGCGATTTCAGAATACAAATTCACTGTAACCATTCAGTGTCGGGCGTGGTTTTCTAAACGCGAGACTTAGTTTATTTCAAGTAGACTGGTGGCGGTGTCTACCGTCACTTTTTATGTATTTCATTCTCAGTGAGTGGATTGGGCCTTCTTTCTGTTCCAACTCATGCGTCGAATATGATTCAACGTAATCGCTTTGTCACGGTAGTAGTCGACTCTGTAATGCAAAATCTGGTCTGGTCGCTTCCTCCAAAATCGTGGTTATTTTCATATGAATAGGAAAGCTGTCATCACTTAGGCTTCCACTGCTTTTCGTTTGTCGAACTAAAGGTCCGCTTTTGATTGGGGTGTGAAATTTGTGAGATGCATTGGTGTGTGAGAATGGCGAATTCCATTTTGTGAGCGTTTACTCCTCCACCGGCGAAATCATCGTCGGAGGTCTAACTTCGTTTGTCAGTTCAGTCATTGAGCAAAAATGAATGAGTGCTGCACTCGCCTGCTGGACCAGTGGTCGGTCGTTTGTGTGCCTTGTGTGTGCTTCGCACAGAAAGGTTTGCTCGCGTTGCTCATCTGCCACTTTTACCTTCACTATCACCGTACCATTGCAGTTGTCCTTGTTTTTTTGGTGGGATAGAGGTCGTACTTTTAGGCGGCCTTTCGGTGTGTGTACAGTGTCTATTTTTAGATGCCCAAACATACTCTTGATTAATTTTGTGGGTAGAGCCCACTTGAGGGAGCTGTCAGCTCTAGCCACACAGCACTTAATCGACACTTCTTTCGTCTCGGCCGAAATCCATTAACAAGCCCGTCCGATGAGCAGGAACAATCCCGCCAAAAATGTGTGGATTTCACGAACTATCTGCGGTCTCTCAATCGTCAAAATCTCTACTCAGCATCCTCGACCTATTTTTCTTTCGTGGTTTGAATGTCCCTTCGGAATTGTGACGCCAATACCTGTGACAGTTTTGCTGTGAAGTGGGAGTCAGCTTCTGCCGCTGCTGCTCAAACAATGAGGCCTTAGACTACTTGTGGATGTGTTGGTGCGTGTGTTCGTCGATTTGTCCAGCTGTCCGGTCTCGCCCTTAAGTTCCTCCTCTTAGTTAAAAAACTGCCTACACAATTTAGAGCGCTTTGTCCTCAAATCCGCACAGTCAACGGTGTTTAGGGCGCACGTACGTACGCGTGTATGCGATACGAATCTCCTCCCTCTGTTGAGGGGCAAATGATCCGATAAATACGTCCATTTTGACGCATTGACATTTTAATTGCGCTTCAAATTGTCCCCCCCCCCTCTGTACACCAACTTGCCAACATCAACACTGAACACATCGCATTCCCTCCTTCCACGTACACAAGGACGACTTTATTTTTAGTAAATCCGGATACTTCGATGCCACCACTGCAACAACACCCAATCCCACACCTTTCGCATTTGTGTTCATGAGAATTTCCTAGCTTGCACAGCCTTGGGATCATCTTCCCTTTCCTCCTCTCATTTTTCCTTTACGCTGGGCTGAGGTTTTTTACTCCCCTCCTGCCCCCCTGTACACGATTTATTAATTGAAGGGCATCCTTATGGAGGTGTTTGACCTCAGCATGCAGAAGTGTAACCTAATTAGTTTTCGGACACGTACATTTAAATGCCATTAGTAGTGACTCAGATATGTGCTTACTTTTTCACCTGTGCAACGCACCTTTTCCTCACCGGATCCATTTTCACATCTGGCCTGGTCGAGAAGGTAGTAACTTTTGAATGTGAACTTCTGATCTGAGGCCATGCAGCTTCGGTGTCGATAGTCGCAGCTCTAGACGGCCACCGTGTGAGATCAAATGTGCACATGTATGTGCGCGCGGGTTTCGGTACAAGTACTGCGCAACGCAATAAACCGATGTGTCAGACCTTCTTCTACGCAATTACTTGAGGTGAAACGGTGGGTGAATATGTGTCCCCGGCTCATTTTGCAGCTTTTCTATTCCGAGGTCAAAGTGTACATTCCGTTCGCCGTATTCTTGTGTCCTCATGGTTGAATGTCGGACGGGTCCCAGTAGTCAATCACTTCTGGTTTGGGATTAATCAGAATGCTGAATGCGATCGCAGGTTACAGCGCTGCAATGTAGTCGGGCGCTTCGCCTGTCAACAGTATGCGTCTACTCACTTGGTGGGTGTGCAGTCATCCGCTTTCTTGCCCCGATCGTAAGGTCACAAACGAGGCGCACCAATGAACGTTTTACTGCCCTTGATTTATTAATGATTGTTCAGCCTGTACTGCACTTTACTAGGAATCACTGAGACCCAGGTGTTCTGTGTAATTGCCTATGGTGTGTCCAAAGTCCAAAGGTTCTTTGCGCGCAAGAAAGACCTTGCTTTGCAACAATAATGAAGTTTGTTGGGAAAAGGGCCGTGAACACATTTCTGTTGAATTCTTTCTCTATTGGCAAAAAATGAATTGTCGAAATTTTCCAGCAGAATTTTCTTGGATAGAACCTTTCGTTTTACGTCCATCACATGGGGCACTTTGTTAGCTCTGGCGTATTCCCCCTTGCATTTAGTAGAACTACGCTTCCAGCATCTAGGGTAACAGTTGAATAACATATGTACATCAAAGGATGGTCCGTATTCCCCCTGCACGAGGTACCAGCCGGCGAAATTTGTGCATTCGTTTCGTGTCTTGTAAGCTGTCTTCCTTGTCAAAATGTGTACTTTGCACGATGAGTGGTAAACTCATGCAGAATTGCTGCTTCATCCGCTCCGCAATCTACCTCCTTTGCACGATGGGAGCGTCATATTAGGTTTACCATATCTTGAAATCATGGTGGGTTTTGGAAGAGGAGCCAGACGCCTAATTATTAGGTGAACTGTCAATCGAAACCAAGCTTTCCTACGGATGGTGGTTGATTGTTCAAAAATGCCTTATTGTCGTAAGAATAACTCCTGATCATACGCTTAGTGCTCAACCATTTCAAATGCAGCTGTCATCAAATTGCTGAAAAGTTTGCAGAGTTCGGAAGTTTCCACAGTGTCTACTGCTGCTGCATTGTGAGAATGAGTAACCCTCGAATAGATGTTACACCTTCTTGGCGAGTTATCACGTAATGAATCAAACGCAAATTTGAATGTGGGATAAGCGTTCGAGGCTTAAGACACGCTAACATTGCCCAGAGGACATCAATCCCTGCGCAATAAAATGGGTCATCATGTTGGTAGGGTTAATGCGCGTTCTGGTGGACCTGCATAGGTCAGACTAATGGGGGATATTTGTCCCCCATGCGCAATGTCCATCATAGTTGCCTGGTGCATACTCCTGTGAACTTATTCTGACCCCTACCTAAGTGCTCTGTCTACAAAGCCGAATGCTTATTGGTTGGTTCAATTGCCTCTATGCAGGCAACCCCCGGAATCCCCCCAAGTTATTGAAAGGCGAGAATGGCGAAGAGGTGTGTCGTAAGTGCACAGCGTCTGACGACCACCCAATCGTTCTAAGACGAAAACCGAGCAATCGCCAGTCGCAGCATCAGCAATCTCAAGGGGGTGTCTGTTCCATCTATTGCAACACTCATGTCCCCTCTGCGAGTCGCCAGTTCACTCTCCCCTCGCCCCATGCTGATGACGAGGTCAAATGCGTAGCCGCTGCTGCTGGTGGTGTGTCCAACATGGCCAACGGCATTGCTGATACCTCTGCTGTCACAGGCGCCACTTCTGCCAACCTCCCTTCCGACGATGAGCTTGTGAGTCCCCTTCCTATTCCGTTCTTACTCTCTATATTTTAATGTTCCCGTCCACATCTAAATGTTGCTTGTTATCTTGGCTGCATTCATGGCTGACCCCGTATCCTATGTCGGGTTGGAGTCATTTCTACGATTGTTCACGAAGACCGTGTCCTTTCTGGAATGGGCGTTTTTAAGTACTGTTTGGTTCATATTTCTGGGAGAATTGTTTTGATTGGGTGGGGCATTGTCCTTTGAACTTAAAGCCAGCGTTTTATGTTGTAAGCAGAAACAAGGTTGCATAGCGCTGATACTTCGGATAGCCCAGACAGAACCATAGGTTTCGCAGATTTAGGTAATGCTAGCATTGTAAAACTTAGCATGAAGATTTGTTTGGAAGAAAATAGCGTTAACTCGCAGGCAACTCTTGTTCTTGATGTTTTCACCCACTAAGCTACGCTGTGCCACTGGCACTGCCTTCTGCCAATCTCTGCACCTAATTCAGTGCCACTGGTGTAATCAGTTGTGAGGAGTAAATCCAATCTGAAGATGTTTTTGGGTGTAGAAGGAAATGCGTCATACGTGGATGAACTGACCAGTTGGATTGTGACCGTGCCATACTACGTCGGTTGGTTCAAAGTGACTTCCTGTTCTTTTGTACCAGGCTATGCCGAATTTTACGAAATCCGAGTGTAACTGTGTTTACAATGATTTTGTGGTTTCCGTTAGCATGAATTTGCTGCAGCGCCATTCCTTGCTTTTGGTAGCAATTAAGCTGAGTGAATGAATCGCTAAAGACCGACTGCATGCGATTTGATTCCCATAGTATTCGAGCAAGGACAAGTCATAATCCGCAGTCACAGCTGATCTGCAGACTTCCGGACACTGAACCAAAATGCCGTTTATTGTGAGCAGTGTCTAATGCCGTTTTTTGTGTAAACATTTGCCGACGGAATCTCACTAAATTTGTATGAACATCTGCGCGCCCGACTGAACCGATAATAATTGCCTTAGTGCAATAACCTTCCATCAGAGTTGCGACTAAATTAAACTTGAAGAGAAGGTGGTTTCCGTTATTTGAGGCGTGTTTGTATCCACCCATTGCTCCATTCATCTCTCTGGAGCAGGGCGGTGTTTCACCCTCGCGGTAATTTTTGCACGCCTCTTTCTGGTACACTGCTGTGTGAGAGTGCCTTGTAAATAGCTGGGCGTGTCTCCTCTTTCACACTGCCCAGTGTGAGATTACCTCCTTGCTTTCTTACCTTCTGGTGGCGTACTTTGACTGTTTCCCCTTCGCAATGACAACTTCTCTCCCTAGATGGTAGCGTTATATTTAATACTGTAACGAAAGTCGGTCTCCAGATTGATTGCACAACAATGCAGTATTTACAATGGCAGTTGGCTGTCACATTGCTGGTTTTGTCAAAGCGCTAATTTCACATTTTGAAGTAGGTTAAGGGGTTAACAAAGTTGACGATGCAGCCCACTAAACCAGTAACAAGCGTTTTGCTCTGCCATGTGGTTGAATATGGATGCCATGTATGAAACTGGCAGAACTTGGCATAACCGTGTGCCAGTGGGCCTGAGGGTGGAGATAGTGGGAACCGAATCGGAACTGACCAAAATAAGTGCACATGGGAGAGATCTGCTTTCTCAAGTCAGGTGGCATGGGATTGTCACAGTCCACAATCCCTACCACCTGGAGTTAGATAACACACTTGGAAAAAGGCCGCCTTGGCAACCTCCGCATATTCTCTCCATCTCGCTACCGCCATGGCTACCCAATTTCCCCCCTCCCCTAGAT